TGCTACACATAGTAGCATTGTCCGTTGTTATCGTGGACGGGTAGTACCGTATTAAAGTGTGATGTTATTGTGGTCGTGTATGTAATACTGACTGGGATGTGCGTGGTGATGCGGCATGAGATGATGCGCCTGGTGACGCACGAGCGTGGCGATGGCGTCCGCGTGCGCCAGACAGCGTGCCGCGTGCGCCGCGCCCGCCTCCGACACACGAGACCCACTGCTGATACATAACATCGTCTCACTTTGTATCGTGCTACTGTAACTAAATACCGTACTTACCGTGGGTTTCTGAACACTAAATCAATGTAAAACTTATCGTCAACACTGTCATTATTTTTGACAAAACAGAGATGTTTTAAAAGGGGATTTTGGTCTTAGAAGCCCATGGTTAGTGGTCAGTCTTCCTTAGGTACACGAAAGGGTTTAATTACTAATTGTGTCTTATTTAAATACAGTTTTGACTCGCGTTTCTGTCACTCGGCAAATTAGTACACATTGAAGCAGTGAAAAGTTTTTTTATAAAATCACTAGCCGTCGCCCGCTACTCCGTTCGCGTAGAATGAAATAAAAACTTAATTAGTTCCCGGCAATTATTCGAATTTTTCTCAACTTTTAAACCGTCCCAAAACCGACACGAACATTTCAAAACCAAGATAAGATAAATCCGTTCAGTCGTTCTCGAATTTTAGCGAGGCTAACGAACAGTAATTGATTTTTATATATAAAAAAATATTAATCATATAAAAATAAGAATTTTTAGACGTAGTTGAATATTTTTCATCTTTTGCAATGTTTTTAATAGCATAGTATGTAAATATATAGAATTTTTACGCTTTTTCCTGCGGCGTGCGGGAGTAGAGTTCCGCGGCGGCGAGCAGCAGGGAGCGCCTCGCTTGCACAAGCAGGCGCGCGTCCCCACCCTTCGTCAGCTCTCGGGCCACCTCATCGCTCCGGTCCAATAAGAATCTGTAATTATAATTATCTAAATATATACAATCAATAATAATCGGAGTATCTGTATGTAACATCAAAAAAAAAAATCAAAATTTGTGAGCACGTTCCACACGGTCGTGTTTTTTCCCGGTTAATTTTTTCGGGACTTCGACTGGAAGGTAAGCTGACACACGCGGCAATATTACAGGAACAAAACATAAAATCCCCCTTCTCAATATCGGACATGTACCATATATCCTTTTTACCAACGCACCTTGGATAATCCAAATTAGGTGAATGCATCTTCATAATGGTTAGACAAAGGGTAACATTTGGTGTGAATTCGTAGCTAAATTCATTGCGAACGGCTTCGTTCTTCTCCGCACTGGTGGAGAGGCACCAGTCCATGCAGGTGACCGCGCTACCCGCTGAGTCAGAGTGGCTGCTGAGGATCAAGTTATCCTGGTCACTGTTAGGTCGACGGTTCATCGTTTGTGTATAACAATCGTCGCATACACGGAACTTCACACCACTGGGGTATGTTGGGACCTGGAAGAATATTAAATATTTTCTTGATATTAAATGTACCATTTACAAACTAGTACTTTATGTCCTGACGTCGCTTGAACATAATATTGCACGTTTCTTTCATTACTTTAAAGGAAAATGTTTCAAATTAGACAGAATAATATAACTCGTTTCAAATATGGCGGCCCAAGGTCATCGGCTTGCTATGTAGTGCCCTTCCCCGTCATCCCGCTATGCTCCAACTCGCAGAAGTTAAGAGCGGCCAGGATATTTGAACACATTTATAAAAATTTCTTACATGCATGCGGTGTCTGGAGCAGGCATGGCATACGAGGCGTCCGCAGCGGCGACAATGATGTCTTCGTATGATCATAGAGAAGATGGATATTTTGCACATCATGCAGCGATCCGTCGTGTGATCCTCCACCCACTGCTCCTTGCTAGGCACCTGCTCCGGCATCAGGAATGGACGAGATGCCGCTTCCAGGTTTATAGAATCTATAGACTGCAGAAGAGAATCGTCCCACGGCTTCAATGGTGAAGGAGATACGTTCCTAGGATTCTTCATATCCAAAGCTTTCTCCGCGTAATAGCGAAGCAACGCATCGACAGCATTCCGAGATATTACTAATGTCTCGATAGATTTTATGTTATAATAAAGATTGTCGCCGCTCGGATCTTTCTTAAGATTCGGTGCTATTTTATTTATAACATCTGTTAGAATATCTAATTTTCCATTCATAAGAAACTGTTCGATCATCAATAGAGGATTTTCTATTAGTTCCCAGAAAGCGCTTCTCAAATTCGGATTAATCCCGAGCATGATTTGTAGACCGACTTTGATATTTTCAAAGGATTTCCAATCGTAGGAATTTTCTGAAATGTAGTCGACGCAAACTTGAAGTATTTCTACATTGCGTACTTTGGCCATCTCTTCTTGTATAAGATCTGTGGCTTGTGAAGGAGAGAGACGTGTTAGTAGTTCTCTTATCATATCGGGTGTTGCTTGATTCGTGTATTCGAAGAGTTGTCGTAAAAGATTCACTATGATCAAATTCTTCATGTGTTCTGACACATCATGGACATCGGCCCATTCTAAACATAGCTTGAACTGAAATTACAAAATATACCTAAATATCAAAATACATAACCTAAAAATTTAATTTATACAATCATATGAAATTTTTTTATGGATTAGAAAGTTGAGTAACTGAGTAATAAAGCAGATGTTTTTTTTTTATTTCGTACGGAAGAAGTTCCGACAAAAGCTAGTATTAAAATAAAAAAAGATTGATAAGTTTGTTTAAATTAATTATTACTAAAAATTTTTTGGGACAAAATTACCTGTTGGCTATCCACTAATAAGTCGATTATTGTTTCCGGATTTTGTATGGACATCTCGTACACATTATACCAATGGCCGACTCCCATGATTGTTGCTATCTGAAAAAATTAATGGAAATCCACAATAAGTGTTATTTCAAGGTCAACGACAATTTCAATTATTCCTTCTAAATATTCAAACAAATACCTGTTCATATAAAGGTATTTTAACAATCCAGTCGCTGCATTTTTCATACAATCCTTCCTCCACTGCGATTGGATCTAAAATGAATCTTAAATAATCTAACACTTCCGTAGCGCCCTCTGCCGGCCAACTGTTCAAGTTGTTAAGAATCAGATCTAATTTCAGTTCGGGACATTTTAAATGCTGGCAATGTTTCCAGTTATTACTCATTATTGGATTCGTTGCTAATTTGAATAGAATCAAGTCTCTTAGATTTAGTAGATTCGCACTGCACATTAACTGTCTTTCGGACAGTGAATCGATAATCTTCAAACATTGTAGGATTTTACCCGATTCTAATAATTTAGGCATAAACAAAAAGAGTTTGTCTAAATCAATAGTCGTATGAAGTGATGCTAAATATTTGTTTCCTTCGAATAATACTTTTGTGCGATCAAATCTTTCTAGATCCATATATCTGTTCAAGCATTTAGTACGAGCGTCCATGCTGTGTTGCATGCTACTCTCGTTCAAAGATGTATGTATTTTCTTTATGATGTGCGCCAAAACCCAGTTATGTAACACGATGTATGTGAGACATTGCGTGTCGGGTGACCTCGGTAGCGGTGCCAAGTTTGCTGTCGGGTCAAGAAATAAATTCTCCTCGGGATTCTTAAAATCGTATACGACTTGTAGTAAATTATTAAAATTCTCTTCTGTAGCCTCTTTGTGGGGTCCGACTAAAGTAATAGAGGGACAAAAGTTTAATATTAACTTTGGTATGAGATTAACGTTTAACTTTTTACAAATCGGTTCCAAATATGTGACAGGAATATCTTTGTTGTTTATCATGTTTCCGAAAATGTCGTGTAAATGTCGTTCCAAAATGAAGAAGTAAGGAGCGTCTGCGCCGGAGTCTGTCGAGCGATTATCTTCCTGCTCAAGCTGAGAGACTGATTTTGTGTACATGTAACACATTCTTAGATAGTGAACTCTGGTCTTCTTGTTCCCGTTATGAGATACCTCGGCGATATTGCATATATCTTTGTCTGAAGCGGCAACCACATTCATGTATATTTGATGATATTTCTGTAATAGATTCTCGTCGTAAGATCCTCGATTTGGATTGACAACATCGTCGAGATCCTGACACGATCGTCTCAATTCCTTCGATAGTTGATTCAGTTTGCAGAATTCTTTATGTTTGATAGGTATCCGACAGTCGGTGATCAAACCACAGATGTTGTCGACGAAATCGAATGATTTTTCAGTGTTGCCGAATATTTCGAACGTTACACTGGCAACATCTTCAACGAAACGAATGTAGTTTGTTTTTTTCACGGCAGACACATCGGTGCTGCATCGAACTTCGGCCAGTTTTCTTTCGACTACGTTAATGAGGCCGTAGGTGATTTCTCTGTTGAGTCCACTGCTCAGTAAAATATCAACAGCATTTATGAAGGGTGCGTTCTGGTGATTATACAATTGTAGGTGTGGATGACGTGCACCCAGTTCCATTATATCGAAGGAATTAGGCGCTCGATTTGATGCAAGAAATCCTTCCACGAGCCCCATTACTTCTGTAGATACCACAGACAAAGCAGACAGTTCTTTAGATGGATATCGTACGTTGTCCCTATAGCAAATAATGTTTTTAATTTTTGCTACAAGATGTCGTAATTGCTCCGTGAATTGTACTTCTGTTGCAATTTCTGAATCAGCCAAATCGAACATCTGAAATTAATTATTACACAATTCATAAATAAAATAAAAGGTCCTTTAAGAAGCGAGCGTATCACCATCTCAAAGGTCAGGAACCTATGTGGTGAACCTCTGGTAATGCAGATGTCTATGGGCATCGATAAACACCTCGAAGTTTATCTACTCATTTACACCCTTCTCTTACATATATAAAAACATATTGAACCGAATACTAGATAGATTTAAAATCTTAAATGTCAAAACTTTTAACATTAAAAAGTCGCGTTGACATCTCGATAGCAGAATATTATTTTAAAGTTATTTCTTTTTATATTTCTAAGATTAAGATTAAAATGATAAAGAAAAATATATTTATTTTAATGTTATTCACAAATGTAAAATGTCGTAACTTTGAAGATTCATTTAACATTCTCATGAAAGACAGTGCAGTTTACTCTATCGAGGAATTTCTAGGCCCCGATGATTATGAAATGATCGATGTTAAAGATATAAATAGAGAAAATATCGATGATATATTATTTGACTTGAATAAGTAATGATGACCAACTTCTTAAATCCATAATTTTTAAATTTATGCTTAAATAATGAAGCCATTCCAAGTTAAACTGTTCTTTGTAAATGACTTATCATCATCAGCTCATTATCTCTTCACTGCCCCCAGTGGAGAGATAATGAGCCTACACTAAGTTAGGGGTGACTAGGCCATAGTCGACCACGCTGGCCCAGTGCGGGTTGACTTCTCACATATCTGTGAAGAAATTTGAATCATTTGATATTATTCATTGTTTTCGGTTTGGGTTTGGAATTAAAGGGGAGAATTTAAAAAGATAAATATAATTGTTTTTTTTTTTAGATTAGCGGAAGAAGAATATTATAAAACTACAAATACACCACTTGCTGAGGAAACACAAGATATCGAAAATGATTTTTTGAAGAAATCTGTTAAATGTAATACAGCTGTTGAAAATGCAAGTTTATCTTTCTAATCTTATTCTTATATATCTTATCGATCTTACTAATATTATAAATGCGAATGTTTAGATTTACGGATGAACGGATGGATGTTTATTAAAAGGTATCTACAGAATAGCTAAACGGATCTCGAAGAAATTTGGCATAAATAGAATATAGTCTCGACTAACACCTTTTTTATTCTGCGTAGACACAGTCGCGGGAAATACTAGTTAAATAATAAAAAGGATGGATGAACAAGGTGGAATACCACCTCAAACATCCACTACATACGAGTATATCAAATACAGTAACATGTATACGAAATATTTCAGACAACAAACCACATTGTCCATAAAAGAGATATTATGGTATCAGCCGAGGAGGTAGATTACGACTACGATGAACTATTGAATGACTACATCGGATCGGATAATAATGGCGAAATCATTACAAACGGTAAAAAAAGCTATGTTTACATAACTCCAGACCAACGTATCTAGGCCTGGATTACAACTTGAAAATGCAAACCCACATTATTTCACAGTTGGTTTAAATTTTTTCAGTTATAATCCAGTACAGGATAATATCGCTGGACTGGACTAGTGTACATAGGGCATTAAATGTACATTGTTTTGCATTATGTATATACTGACGTAATTATAAAGTAAATAGTTCTAACCCCGAAGTTGTAATATTATATAAAAATACTCGAAGGTACAACTCTATTTCGTTAAAACTAGGAAAATGTCAATCTTGCTAGCATTAAAAAGATTTATTAACACAGATGGAGAGGGAAGTCACATTGCAGTTAATGATGTTATGTGTATAATCAATGAAACGTTAAGACAATCCCCGAAAGTTATAATGGCAAGACTCTGGAATAATTTAAAAATATGGCTGGTCGTTTATCTCGTTGTGGCCGTGCCTTTATGGTGTACTAAAGGTAAGTATCTAAAATCAGTTTTAGTAGTAATAGTAGGAAATCCAACTAAAAGAGCTATTATTCATAATTTACACCTTTTAATCCAATTTGCAGACGAAAGGATCAAGCTAGTGCTTGATTCTCAACAGACTATCAGTGTGTCCAAACAAGACTCGTCCGTAGATTTATTTCTAAACCTTCCCAATACTGTCGTGTAAAAGTTTTTTTTTACAATGCAGTGAGTTACTACGACGTAACATTGCTTGAAAGAAGACCAACAGTGATGTTATAAGGACGACACACGATTTTCTAGATTCTTAGAGGGAACCCACACTACACTGGTTATGTGGCACTTTCTAATATAACTATATAAAACAGGTTGGTGTTGTTGCTGTTTATGCTGCAAGCTGTTGCAACCGCAACGCACTATACAGGATGCTAAACAATACTACATGACGAATCCGCCCGGTGTATTAAATGTACCCAACTCCGGAGTCATTTGTTACGAAGCGACTGAACGCGAGAAAGAAAGCTATGAGAAATTTGGTCATATTATAAGAACTATATAAAACATATTTGGAACGCGAGAAGAGATTAGTTATATGAATTCTTACCTCTAGAATTTGATTTGCCTTCGGAAAGTCGTTGTGATAAAGTGCAAGCGCCACCGAGCAATTAGGTTTAGCCAACATTATGGATATAAAGTCAATGCTATTTTCCTTCGTCATATAAGCTGAAAAAAAAACATATCAGTATTTAAAAAACGAAAGATAAATAGCTATATATGAGATTTGAAAATATTGTCAAAAACCCTACTGCCCTTCTCAACACTAGACGGAATTACAAATTTCTATTTTCATTTAGTTCTTAACGCACCCAAAACAATAATTTTTGGGGAAAATATCATTCAGGGTCAATAATATTATATGTAACATACCGTCATCTGTCGCCGAGAGAGTAGAAGCAAGTAGAGCGTGCTCTGCGTCCGGTCTAGGATTGGTGTGACGTCTTCTCACTTTTGGCTTTCTTCTCGATGTCTTTATTTCCAATTCTCGATCTTCATCATCACTGCTTTGGTCCACCTCTACATAGTCTAAGCACAGTCTTAATTGCAACGGACTAGTGTCGGGTGAGAGAGTAGACACCAGTTGCAACTTCCAAATCGAATGATTTACCACTTGGATCATTTTTTTGAATCTCGCCGAAATATTTGGAGCAACATCTTCATATTTACTCTCTTTTCTTTCAGCTAATGTTTCTAAGCAGATTTTTAAAGTGTTCAAAATAACTTGAGTTGTAAACGAGTTACACATGAATCCAGTACTTGAACTATTGAATGTTTTCGATTGCTTGCTTTGCTTTTTTGAATAAAAGTATGAGCATTCAGAATGTGTTCCACAAGGTAAATCTTGCGTGTGTTCATAGCACGAGAAATACTCGTAGCGAAGAAATAAACAAGAATAGATTGTCTCTATTACTTCTATACAGTAATGAAGAGGTTGGATCGATAGAATTAAACGTTTGATATCTTCTAAAGACACATTCATGTCTTGAGTATTTTCTATTCCTTCTGTTGAATTTAATATTGTGTCTATTACTTTAGTAATAGCACAGTAACTGTTATATGTCGATGTGTCCCAGTTAGCAGTAATTGGTTTTTGGTTTTTAGTTACTGTCTTATCACTTAATGAAACTAACTCTGTTATAAAATCGTTGTTTGTATTTAACAGTCTTGATACTTTATATCTATCTATTTTGGAGAGCCTGCATACTTGGGAGATGACTGTTAAAGCGCTTTGCGTTAAGACTTGACTTAAAATAGATGTGGTCATAATTTTACAATTGTTCTCTAGACAAAATTTTATAACCGTTAATTCTCTTTTAATTTCAGTTATGTAAAATTGTAATTGATGGTCCGTTGTTGTGTAAGCTTCGAGGATTGAAAATATATTAGTTAATTGATGGACTAGAGATGGTAGATCGTAGCTTTCAGGGCAATTCGTGAGATCAATAAGCACCATTATTATAATCTGTTTGGTGAAATTGTTTATTTTGAATGTAACATTTTTCATATCGTGTAATTGTTCTTTGTATATTTCGGCCGCTTTTAGCAGCCAGTGCGTTTTGTCTTGGTAACATAATTCCAGCATATATTCTGGTGTTAATTTAAATTCTTTTTGTGGTTCATTTTTATGTATAAAATCTGAAATTTTGCTTAAGATTTCAGGTCTATCTTGGGGTATGAGGCTGAGTAAAATTTGTTTTCTATATTGTCTTAATGGCTCTTCTGAAAGAGGTTTTAATACTTCATTTATAAATTGAGGCAAGAATTTGTCATTTAACCTTACTAATGATAATAAGGTGACTAATCTATCTGTGTTATTGTAAATTATTAATTCATGTTTTAAAACATCTAAATATAATGTTTGTATTTTATCTATATTTGAATTATTTTCACATTTTTGTTCTTGTATGTATTTGAGAATCTCTGATGTGGTTACGGGATTACTTCTAAGGTTTCTTTTAAAGAATTCAGTTGTTTCGTAAGATAAGTCTTTACAAGGTTTCGATTCTTCAGCATCATAGAAGATTTGTAAAATTTCCTGTAAAATGCATTTAAAAAATGGTTGACATATAATATTATTGATACAAGAGAAAAAAATGTATAGTCTCAAACTATCATATTATATATATCAGAACAATAAAAAATACTTACCTCAAAAATAATTTCATTTAAATCATCAAGAAGGTAAAGAAGATATTTTAGTTCTTCTTCCCTCATGTTGCCTGTTTTGAAGATATCTGTAACAAATAGTTTATCTTACTAATATTATAAATGCGAACGTTTAGATGGCTGGATGTTCGTTCGAACGTATCTCCAGCACGGCTGAATGGGTCTCGATGAAATTTGGCATACATATAGAACATAGTCTGAAAGGACATATAGGCTACTAATTATCTGTTTTTATATTCCGCGTGGATGGAATCGCGGGCGACAGCTAGTATTGAATAAACATAATAAGTAGTTCTGTAAAGTTCTTTGTTTTGTAAACAGATAATAAATATGTCAAGTACTTAATTATAATTTTATTACCAGAGACTATGCTACCATTTAAGTAATTAAATATCATAATATATTATGTCCATTATAGATAGGAATATTTACTATAGAATTGACTTTAAATAGTATTAGAGGTTGTTTGAATCATTATTTACTGACTTGACCCCCACCTCCCACTGGTATTCGATAAAGTACTGTATCCCTCCCCCTTTATGTGAAATAATGTGTATTTTGGTGCAAAATACTACTGATGTCTTCAATATATTTGTTAAATAAATTTATATCACCATTCAGAAAATAAATTAAAAAAAAACTTAAATTAAAAAATTTGGCCTTCCTCCATCCTCATATAGTGTCATGATTTTTTCAGAACTTCTCTCCCCCTTTCCAGTATTGGCAAATAAAATTCATATCAAGCTACTTACACTATTTAGTAATAAGTCTGTTAATCTTTCATTATTCTAAATTCATTTTACTTTTCACAGATACCAAGTGATTTAATATTATTAATATAAATAGGTATTATCTTAGAGGTAATTATAATAATGGCATGTTTATTGCAATTTGACTTTATCTCATATAATGTAAATACTATTAGTAACACAACATTGTATATACAAGATAATGTCCTTCAAAGAAAATTAAATATATTATATCAATAATTTGTTATTGTTACTTAACATTTTACTTAAGTTTTATTGTAAGAAACTATTGTTTCACTTTTGGCTAAATCCTTAATTAATAAAACTTATTAGGTACGACATAGTTAGGATGACTACTAAATTAGTAATTTGTATAAGATAAAAAACACCAAAACCCTAATTATAGTCTTTAAATTCAAGTGCATAAGACTATTTTATTTATTTTAATAAAGCATATTACAGCAACAACATCGATACTACTCATTATTAAATACATATTTTATACAAATTACACGGAAATGCCTTAAAATAAAAGTACAAGGAATCTGAATCATAACATCAATGTTAAACAGGGATTTAATAGTTACCTAAAAAAATGCTGTATTGCTTACCATTTATAAAAATAAGATATAATAGAAGGATGAATATATTATTAACTTTACGTATGAACGAATATAAGACTAATAAACAGTAATTTCAATAAATAAGAGAACAATATTACAAAACAAACAATCAAAACTTCTTTGTTGACATTGATTGATATTGACAGTGACAAATGTAGACAAAGAGAAAATATAGACCGACAAGACTATCTGAATCGGTGGGCATAAGTCAAAATGAATTATGACAGCTCACTAGCGCCCCTAACGTCAAGAATTTTACGAAAATCATGATGGTGAATGATGATAATTTCTGATAGAATCAACTGCTTAATTCTGTCACTATCATTAGTTGGAATTCTCACCACCACTGTGAACTGTAAACCGCTACCGTTAGCGCTGAAATGGCGAAAATTGAAAAGGTACACAACAATACCACGACTGTCCTGTCTGTCCATTTTTGTCATACTCTGTACGTCAGTGTCAATTTACGTTTACGTCAATACAAAAACCATACTTGGGGGTTGGGGGAAAAAATAAAGTTTGATAAATAAACTTAAGTTAATCAAACAAGAATAATACATTGTTAATGAGGAGGTTTTTACGAATGTTTTGGCTTTTATAATATAAGTTTTCATAAATAAGTAATAAATATTTCTGTGATGAACCTCATTAACTTTAGGATTATAAAACAGGTACAAACGTTATGCCGTAATCATGTTGGTTATTTTAATAAAACTTATAGTACTCTAAAAGTACATACATTAGTAATCAGGAATAGAAATAATCCAGTTAAATACAAAATATCACTTTCATCAGCCGTATGCGTTTATTCATCAGATAGTAAAAAACACTTCTTAGATTTAGAAAAAAAGGCAGTAGAGTTCAAAGATGCATTTGAGCATAAAAAGGAACAAATTAAAGAGACTGAACACCGAATTCGACAAAAAGGTGTTCAACTGGTTAAAGATATCAAACAGCAAAAGGAAATTACTGGACAAAAAATAAAGGTGAAAAAAGACTACATCATAAAAGATTTACAAGAAACTAAAGCTAAAGTTAAGGAGAAAATCGAAGAAGTTGTAGAGGTATTTCTAAATTAATATGTTATGATTTTATTATATAATATACTATGTGGGACTCAGGTAAATTTATAACTTTTTTAGAGGGAAAATGTATTCACAATACCAAACATCCTGTGTGTCGCAAGGATTACCATGTCTCCATACTTGGGGTATGTCATTCTCCAGAATAACTATAACTTAGCTTTGGGCTTGTTAGTTTTTGCTGGAGTCACAGATCTAGTAAGTATTCTTTTGATTCTTAAAAGTCATGACAAGGGTTTATGTTCAAACAATAATTAAATCATCAGTAAACTCAACTAACTGTAACCAAGACATAAAGAATACATATTGAGTATCCCTCTTTCTTTAAAATTGGTAAATATTTTTAGTCCGACCGATATTATTTATTACCATCCCAGACTGTGACAACCGTCCATTAAGTACAACATTAATCTTCATACAAAATTAATTTGATGCTTCAAATGCGCCAGTTATACAAACATATCTGTAAAATTGTTTACATATATTTATTACTATTCCTCATTTCCATTGAATTCTAATAATAAATTAATTCTGAGCAAAAATTAATGTAAAGAACTTTCATTTAATCACTTCTTTCTGTTTTTTTTTTCATTTTTAATGAACTTATAATTACAATTTATTTTAGCTTGATGGTTGGATAGCAAGAACATGGAAAAGTCAATCGTCAAAAATGGGATCATTTTTAGATCCAATGGCAGATAAAGTTTTGGTGGCAACACTATTTGTTTGTCTAACATGGCAAGACTTAATACCACTTTCATTGACATTACTTATAATTGCTAGAGATGTGGTTTTGGTTGCAGCTGGTTTTGTGATCAGATACAAAAGTCTACCACCACCTGTAAGTTAAATTCTACTCTTTTTAATCTTTTTGTGGGCCCCAACAGGGCAATTGCTCCTATCTCTGCCCCCCTCCTACTTTACGACTTCTTTTTATTGTATTGAGAACAATATTTATTACTCTTTTATGGTAAGTTGTTCCTCTTTTGTTTGTATTTAACACATACATGTGAATCAAAAGTAAGCTTGTAAATGGGTTAACTGTATAGATTAAACTGAATTAGATTATAATAAGGATTAAGGTTAACGCGGACTCGTCCAACTCATCGCCCACCCTGGCACTGTATCATCTCGCGATCGTTGCGTTGTTCACAATCTGGCGTCTCAACGTTGAGCGGGATAAAAATATAAATTGTTTACTAAAACGGATGGACGAACGTCAAAACGCCATACAGCGATACATCTTTAATGGGGAGGTTGGCTATTAATGAATATTTTCTATCTATTTTGGATAAAAACTTTTTTAAAAGATGCAGATATACTGCAGTATTATCTATATGAGCTTGGAACTTAACGTTGTTAAATTATTTAATATAATTTTAAAGCTCAGTACACTTTCGATTTTGGGTTTTTGGCCAACCTGCCCATACAACGAAAAAGTAGACGAAATTTTAATACTAGTAAAATGGAAACTCATTAATACTAAAATAGGTTTGTAATTGCTCAGAGACAAACATATAGTCGTCCCTCTCGTTGTCTTTGTAAAAACAGAGATAATAAAATAAACTTAAGAGTTAAAAAAGTTTTATTAAGGTAATATACAACCTTAAATGACACAGATTTCATTGCAAAATTATTGATCTCAAGTATAATTTCGTATTGAAATGTTATTCCAATTAATACAAGGTCGTTGTTTAACGTATGTCATTGTATGAAGTTGGCACAATATGAGGTCACGTCTGCACATGGTCTGCGTATGTCTCTCGTACATTTTTGTACGCATGCTATTTTAGTATCCTTTAACGTCTTCCTTCGATAGCTTTGTAAGGGAGTTAAAAAATGTATCGAAGTATTTTGCCTTTTTCATTGATATGCAACTTTTAATCTTTTGTTTAATTGGCAATAAAATATTTGCTATGTCATTAATTTCCTACAACTCTACAGGATTAAACCCTACATTTAATTTCAGAATTTTAATAACAATAATAAAACAATACAATTTTTTGTTAACGGTTTCATGCTCGCTTGACCTATATTACAAATTTACTGGACGAGAATAGCAATCAAATATGTCGTCGAAAGATTTTATACAAAAGTAAAAGTGTTACACAGTTGATTGATTTGTGTTTATAGTAAGCCCGATGCGGACGCGGAAGGAAGCCTCAACCATAGACTATCTTTTAACATTTTAATGTTGACACGAAACTATTTTCCGAAAATAGTTATGGCCATAAATAGTTTTATGTTAAACAAAGAACGTTAGTTTTAACAGCTGTTGAAGGAAAATACCCAGTTGATAAGTGTCTGTTTTCTTCTTGCTATGATTTTATCGATAACTGTCTTAAAAATAGTTAATTACATTCTGTAAGAAATTTTATCTTTGACCTAAATGTTTTATGGGCAAAAGTTGAACGAACAAGTAATAATTGATCCCAATCGAAGTAAATCATTTCGCAATTATCTGTTTATTTGACGATTACGAAATCGTAAAATTTTAAATACGACAAAATATTGGCAATAACCCGTTCGACGTCTTTTACATAATATTCTGAAAGTAACCAGCTTATAGTGCGCGTTAAATTAAACGAGAGATTGCATTTTGATAAAAGTAATCATTTATAGCTGAATTTTAAGGAAAAACATTATATAATAAAATGGCTTTCTACGCGTGAATAAAACGTAAACCCGTGACATCGTTTTAGAACGAAATGTTGTAAACGGTCGTAAAATTTCATCTTGTGTTTTCCAAAAGATCCAAGAAACAATTAGTCGTAAATCTAGTTTTGTTTTTGTAACCTGACATGTAACATGTAACCTTCGCATTATAGGATGATCATGAGTTGAATTATTTTCCTCAAAAACAAATACATATAAATATTTACAATATTATTAGTGACAATAATGAGGCAATCTATTGTTTCAGAGAACCTTGAGCAGATATTTCGACGTGACGCACGCCACTGCACAACTTGCGCCCACGTTCATTAGCAAAGTGAATACAGCAATACAGCTATTATTGGTAAACAACTCAAATATTAATCAACGATTAAGTCACGATGAATGCATATCTAAGAGCTATGAGTCAGATGCCTCGAGTTTAAACTATACACATTTGATAAGACTCGCAACAGCTACAATGTTGAATGAAAAGGCGAAACAGTAGTATCAGCACCACGCCAAATAGAAACACGTAATCCTTGACTGCTCCTGTGTTACAGGCCTGAGTTTTAACATCGTTGACTAGACCGTATATAGGGTTAAATGACTTTAGTTTTTTTCCATAAAGAAAGAAAGTTCCCCGATATTCGTGCACTGCACAATCTCACATTATACACCGGACAGGTTCCTTCGCAATGTAACTTTGACATCCACGGTTCATCTTTGAGGTGCAACTATGATGTGCTGATCTGCGCGAATCCGTCTGGTTTTTTTTCATTTGTTGAATAAGAATGTGTTCTTTTTCAGGTTGGTACCACCCTTGCTTCGCCCGTGTTTGATTACGTTCATCATCCCGCGTTACAAGTACTCTGCGGAGTCACAGCCGCGTCTACAGTTGTATCAGCTCTAAGCTATCTTATTAGCAAAGATACTTATAAAATACTAAAGAAAAAGTTATAAAATATGAAGTTAACATATGTATAAAAAGTGTAAATAAATCCAATTAATTAAATACTTTTTTTTATTTATTTCAAAGTTTCGTAACAAGGTTGTTCGCGTACATTGATACCTATATATAGACATAAATGTTGTCCTGAATGAGTCATTGCATTACAGAGGTTACTTCTCGGCCTAGAAACCAATTCCCGCTACATCTTAACGAAAATGACCTAGTAGCTTAGAGTATGAATTTAAAATTTAGTTATCATTAACTAAAAATTGCTACAATGACCCTTTTTTCACTTTTGATATTTTGGTAAAGCATTTCTTAATAAAATCATAATTTCTTTGTATTAAGGTAAAAGGAAACATTAATTTTAGGATTATTAGTGAAAACATTTCCATAGCAAACTTCAAAAATGTATGGAACTGACGCGCGACAATCACGTGACTTATCGAAAATTATTGTCAGTTCCATACATTTTTGAAGTTCGTTATAGAATCGCTTCGGAGGGAATGCACTTTTTCTAACCCCCTGTAGTCAAGAGCTTTACAGACTTGTGGACAATTTCTATTTTTAGCATTGTATATCTTTTACAAGTAAGGTTATCTAATTAAAATAAAAGGATAACTATATCTTATCAAATACAAGATAATTATTACAATTTCATAATCAAGAATTGTAAATACGTATTAAAGCTAGTTGATAGGTTGATAATAAAGTAGCCAGCTATACTTAGGCATACTTATATAAGTTTTAAATAAACTCGATAGTATATTTATATAAATACTAGGATGCGTTTCATTTCCTGGGCTGCGTCTGGATTTTCCTTACGATCTAAGAATATCCTTCGAGGTCGTTGCCATCATTACTATAAAATTAAATAGTTTCCATTTAATAAAAGAATTATTTTTTATTTACTTTTTGAAATGGAAATAATGCAATATCAAAGTATAATATTAGACTTTATTACTAAGAAATAAGAAATCGTATGTTCGAAAGTAAGTAAGGGCAGATCATCACCGATAAATATTACTGCTGATACAATTTCATTGTTTGATTTAATTCGACAATTTCATTTCGTAACTACTTTTTTGTTTTAGAACTCAAAAGAATAAGTTACTTACGAATTTTAACACATTCAATGCTACTGACTTCAATAAGTAAAAGTAGTGGCACTGAGAGTGTTAAGGCAATATTCTACTTACTATATTAATGAGGAACAATAAATGAGATAACTACATCATGCATATAAAAGGGAAGTAATAAATATAGATACAAAATATTGATCAATTTATTTCCTCATTCTATTCACATGAATAAACATTTACGTACAAAATATCGAAATCATAAAAAAAAAAACATGAATATGATACAAAATTACACTTAAAGTAATGAAAGTTCGATAACACAATACAAAAGATTTACTAATTATTGGGCTGATTAAAAAGAAATATGAATTACATTTCAAACTAATATGCTTTCTTCAATAGATAAATGTGAAAAATTTCAAATGACAAGGAATTTCATGATAAAAAACTATAAAAAATAATGTTTTATGTGGAATGTTAAACATATTGTATAAATAATTTTGCGTGATGATAAAGATATTAAAGAAACGGAGCGAATTGTTTAAAAAAACACGAAATATGGCTGAATATTACAAACCTCTATAAATGGACTGGCTATAAGATATATTATTTTGTGCCTATTTGATATTCGCCATTTTTCCGCTGATGGTAGCGGTTTGTAGCGTTGGTGTGGATTCGAATATTACAGATAGGTTTAACTGACATATAAAATCTAGAGGCGCATTTAAATCGGAACAAAGACAAAGTTGTCATTTTCAAGCAATCGTCTATCCATTTATAGAGATCAGTGATGAATAACCAATTCGTTTAATACAAAAATATAATCACAGTGCAATACATTGCAGATTTAATGCTGTATTCAGCAGAACAATCCAGTTATACAAGTTTAGGAAATTATTTACGAGATCTTTTTATTTTCTTTTTATGGGTATTATTTTACTGGCGTTACACACTGGACACTAAATGTTACATCTAGATTTATCAACTAGTAAACATTACATTTGTAAATGTGAATGTATAGATACATAATCTATAGACATATAATCAGGAGCACAAAAGTGAGACAAAGAAAAGCTTTTTGAGGCCTTTCTGGGGTAAATTTCCTCAGCGTTGTCATTTACAACATAAAATGACATTTGGTAAATCGACTCTCGATTAAACGTCAATCCTGTAGGAAACACTCCATCTATAGTTTATATATCTATGGTGAAAAGTACGCAATTATTTAATCATTACATAATGGACTAAATGGATGGTGAAGGTTAATCTCTGTAAAGGCACACATACACTAGATGCTCACTTAATTTTGTCAATAAATTATATTATTAATTAATTTAATTATTAATCAGACATTGTCAACTATGTATCATTTTTGGTATATATGCATTCAATAAAAAAGAACTAAAAAAGGTAATATACTCTGTTGATGGATAAAAAACCTTATATGAAATTAGAAATGAAAACAATTTGATCTATTTGTTTAAGAAACAGTTCAAAATGGCTTAGCTATTGTGCAGACTAGAAGAATATAAACAATTTACGTTCCTGATATTGTTTAGGTTTATTTAATTAAAATTGATTTTATAAGATATTGTTATTTTTCGCTAAAACAATTGTTTGTAAATTTTTATACTACTTTATGGAGATGAAATTTTCAAACTGTATTGAATAGATATTTATAAAGATGAAAAATATATAAAGAAATAAACCAATTATAATACTTTTTAAACAAGAGATCTTGAATTGATAGAAGAAAAGGAATTTCCATTTTTCAAGCGTAGTATTCTTTTTTAATATGTTAAAATAGTTTTGGCATAACAGTAATGTCTAATTCTGCCAAATGTTACGTATTGCTTCACTCTCAACTAAATCTAATAGAGTTTAGAGTCACAATATATTCACAAAACACAAAATAAATGTAAAAAAATACATATACTATCCTATTATTTTTACACAAACAAAAATTTCAAAACATAATTATTATGGCAGCTAGTGTTTAGGAGCTCTTAACAAAATGTGTACTCTACTAATATTTATTTTCTAGCATGGGTGCAGTCGGACAGTCTTACGCACAAAATTGATACACTTAAGCATATTGTTTAAAAATAAACTATTTTACTGGACAATATTATGTAAATGTTAATTTACTCGATACTTGATTTAGAAAATAAATGGAGTTAAACTAACAAAAAATTTTTACGGAATCATATATTAATATAACCAATGGTATATAATACTTATTATGGATAATTTACTTTAAGTTAAGCACCAATGGTAAATCAACAATATGAAGTTAACAAATGTCTCAGTATAAAAACTTAAACTATTTAAAATTACACAATTGTACAATAAAATCATTGATATGATTTATTGCATATGTGATAAATAAATATATAATAGAGCATGAAACAAATTCGACAGTATTATCCTCTATGTAAGTAAATAAGCATTGTTAACTTGCTTTTGTAATGTAATAATTGTTAGTCTAATATTTAGCATGCAGTTACAAATGCATGTAAGATAAATGAAAATGTAATAACTCATTAGTTAACCAACCTTGTTAATTAACTCATCACAAATTGCAGTAAGTTCCTCGTTGTCTTTGATTTTCTGTGCTAGAGATTCCTGCAATGAAGAAGCGTGTACTTCACTCTTTTTGAGCATAGCATTCAATTTAAGGATCTCGGCCTGATGGAACTTCTTTACTGAGTCAAGCTCAGCATTGGCTTTGTTCAATTGTTGCATCGCATGCTGTCTTAATGCTTCGTATCGAGCTTCCAATTTCTGTATAGCGTCATTGTTCTCCTCTACAGTTCTCTTCAGTGCTACTTCATTTGTTTTGTAATCTTGTATTATAACCTTACATCTCTCATATTTAGTGTGAACATCATTAAAAGCATGCTCCATTGAAGCTAAATGAGCAGCTGCCTCATCTCTCTCTCTAAGTAATGTTGCTCTTTCCTCTGCCCATCTTTTTGTTTCCGTATCTTTTTCACCTATGAGAGATGAAATGGTACGCTCATACTCCTCCATGACAATGCTCATTTGTTTATTATTTCGTACTTTCTCTGCTACACGTTGTGATAGGCCCTTCTCTTTCTCCGCATATTCTTCGTTGAGTTCAGTTAATTTTTTAATCTTTGTTTCACATTCCTCCAATCGGCTTCGCATTTCCCTATTAATATCTCTTAAGCTTTGAGCTTCTTCCTCTTGAGCTGCTAACATTTCTTTAACAGCTCGTAGCTGCTCCATAGTGTGGGGGTCCATGTCTGCAGGCCTGGTTAATACAGGAGGTGGCGGAGGTGTTGTACCTAAGCTCAAAAGGCGATCAATAGTCGCAATAGCTGGTGATACTGCACTCGATTTGACCGATGCAATTTTAGATGCCGATGGTTGGCTTCTGTTAATTGCTGGAGTGACAACTTGAGTTGGTTTCTCAGGAGGGGCACTGTTACTTGGTTGCACAGACAATTGTTGCATTGAGTTCAATATATTTTGCTCTGTACTTGACATCGTACAATATATTATTAACTATTTCCAAATACTACTGTTTTTGGATAGTCTGTGGAGACATCGTCTCCTGAAATTAAAAAAGTAAATTAACGACTTCGACGTCAAGGGCAGCGCAGCATAGTGAAATATTATCATTCAATAAATAAAATTTATTAGGCGATAAAAACATGTAACTGTACTTACTGTTGACAGATATAGACTTAAATTATGAAATCGTAAACATCCCACGCATTAAAATGGACTAAATTAAAAGTATTATTGCACTGAATGAATACAAAGAAAATTTATAATATTCCGTTTACACAAAACTGCATGAAATATCCACACTCTGGAGCAATTAATATAGATTTTGATAAAACAATAACGCTCGTTGTATCACTTTTAACGCTATTGGTTATTAAAATTCTAATTAATTTTTCATCGGATGGATGACATCAGTCCAGTCCATAGATGGAAGTTTATTTTAAACAGATTACAGATTCTTATAGACTCAAACGGCAAAGACCAAATTAAACAACCACAGATAAATGTAAAGTATTTAACTGCCTTTTGCTCACAATAGACGTCAGCTTGATCAAGAGTGACTGCAATACCACAGATGTAAAAAATCTGTAAGTTACTCAATTCAGCTGTTGTTATACAACAAAATAACGCACAAAACAACGTATTTTTATATGTGAATAAAATATCCTACGTAAACAAAAAATCACGACTGATTACGACTCGATTGGGTGAAATTGCGCCATCTAGTGGCTGCACAATAAAGATTTAAATTTGTTTTACATAATGTACATTTAAATTTCATTACTGTAAAGTTATACGTAACACTTTCTTATTTTGGAAAGTTATCGCGAGTGAGATTAAAACTTTTTCACTAATTAATAGTTTTATTTATGATATTCACTACACGTGTTATGTGCCTGTTTAAAATAAACTATGACACTACGCAGGAGACAAAATTTAATCACACTTCAATAGTCATAATCGGTTCAGTCGTTTAGACTCTATGCAGTCATAATGGAATTTACATACATACAAACTCACATATGCACATATCGTACTTAGAAACAATCTTACATACGCGCGAGATAAATATGTCTCTTGTCAGTCGGGTAATAAGTTATTGGCTTGCTAAATGCTATTATAATTAAAATCTGGAAAATTAGCAAAATATATGAAAAATGATAAAAAAACTATTTGTAACAATTATAAAATGTTATATTTATTACACTTAATAATAAAATACTAAAATTAACAATTTTCACATAATTTTCCTATTAAACTCCTACTATGTACTTATCAGTTTTGTACATTTCATAAGCAAACTCTTCTTCGTGAGTTGGGTCAAACTCTAAACCTGAAATAAGGAAAAAATATTGAATTAAATATAATAACATTTCGCCATTATAATACATGATGTATTTTCTTACCAACATATTCAATTTCTAGATTGAATGGACCATTTATTTTATCTCCACATGATACACCAAAGTGTGTCACTTTGTCAAATCTCATTCTGCTTTGCCTGTCTTGTAGTCTACCTTTTGATCCCAATACAAACTTTGAAAATGGTATCTGAAATTTATTTTCAATTCCTAAAATATGTCCATTCAAAAATTGGCCAATTATAGTGTCATATATCAGTATGTCAAATATAAATACATACATATTTTTTCAAATTGTATATAAAAAGATTACATAATGGTTTTCGCAATATGGTAGTTACCATAAACAATAGTCTTAGTAGCTGTCCAAAGCTTTGGTATATTTAGTTTAGAACTAGCTGATGCTATGTTACATATTCTGTTGACCGCTTTTACATACCTTAGCAATTTGCCAATAAGGTCCACCTCGTGTGTACAATACATAATGATATATATCATTCCATGTTATATCATAGTAACCTTCACAGGATATGTTTAGTAAGTAGGATCTGCCATCACCTCTAACTTTCAGGACTAATGTGTTATACAGGCTCCAATTATATGTACTACCCCTTTTAAAAGATTTCTGTAATATCAAATCTTTTTACCTTTCTGTAAAACTATATATATAAAAATAAATTGCTGTTCTGTAGTCTCGCTAAAACTCAAGAATGGCTGAATGGTGAGAAAAATTCAAATAATTGCCAGGAGAACCCTAAAACAGCCCTTTTCTTTTTTTCATATATATGACTGAATAGATCTCGCTGAAACTTGGCATAGATGTAGAATATAGTCTGGAAGATCACATAGACTAATATATTTATTTTAATTACATGCGGACAGAGTTGCGTGCGACAGCTAGTTATATATGGAAATTGATACATGTCATTACTGATATTTGACTTTTTTATTTAGTTTGCATGAATTAAAATGTGTAAATTTTACATACCCTTACTCTCTTGGATCTTATAGCACAATATCCAGCTTTTTTTATTCTTCCATCTTTAGGTACTCTGGTATCTAAATAACCATGAAAATTAGCCCTTCCAGCAGGACTCATGTCAAAGTGGCAGGTACTAAAACCTTCATTGTGGTCACTGTCACATGTTGTTACAAAATTATCTAATACAGTAGGTTCATTAAAACACCAAAGTAGATCAGTTTCACCTGAAAACTTTAAATAATATAGTACTGACACTACATCTGCCTCTGTTTTCAAGCTACACAGTATTAATTACAAACTATTCATTTGATTGTCTAAATCTTAGAATTCAGTGAATATTAGTCAGTTAAATTCATTAGTAAAAAAGGGATAGCGTCCTTATTTATTATTAGTTTTTATACCTACCTGGTCTTGCTATTAACAGTGGATCAGCTTCTAAAAATTCTTTCATTTCTTTAGCAAACAGCTTTAGTTCGACTTTAAGTTCTTTATAACCATTTTTCATATGTTCAATGTAAGAGACATTTTCCTGGCTTCGATAGCCACCTTTTCTTTCTTTTTCCCAAAACAAACTACGGTTTACCGGTATGAAAGACTGTGCAAAGCAACTTAATAACGGACTATTATCTAATCTTTTACATAATACTGAATAATGTCGAAAATAAATCACAGTTTTTAATGTTTTGTTAAATATTATCGACATTTTGCCGTAATTAAACAAAATAAGGTTCCACTTCCTTTAAACACTTTTGCAATGTTGTATACGTGAGAATTATTTCATTTTGTACTCTAAATTAAACGTGGTATTAATTCGTTTTTAATAAATTAAATCAATATGATTTATTTCTCTTAAAAATTATAACCTCAATCGAGAAATTTAAAAAACAAACTTTGACGTTTATCTGATCAGTGTTGCTCTTCTCGGCTGGTAATTTTTTTCTAAATTTCTTGTAATTTTTAAAAACCTTATTTTACGTTTTTAATATAAGCATAAGAATATATTCCTATTTTGTATTTGTGCATCATTTATCAACATTTTTGAAATCATTTAAAAAGACAAGTGTATATAAAAGATCTTAAAAGATGACAAACGCCGACGTTTGACGCTTGTCAGGTTGTCAGGAACGTGAATTTGATTGACATTGACAATAACACACCAAATTGTGTAGGCTATTTGATAAATGGAACTAGTGTTGTGGTGATTGTTACTTTCACTTTCGTTCGTCGTTGACCAATACAAGTTATGGAAATTTAAATATTTACTTTAGTCAACCAATAGCTTACAGTCATATTCAAGTTAAACAAAAGTGGACATTATATTATGCCACGTACTTTTGAGTTACATATTAAAACGAGAGGCTTAAACGCTTCTCGCGTTTGAAGTTTATTATTTGAATTATGTTAATAAAGGTATATTTATAAAAAATTGAACAGGCGATAAAAATTATTCAAAATGGGTATGCAAACGCATATCGCTCAGGTAATATTTTCTATAATTTATAGTAAAATTAAAAGTAAAATTTATAGATATCTTGAAAAATCTCAGTTTTACAATGCTATGCATTCAATTTACTTTACGTTAAGTTATTCACCATTTATGGTTTTAATTTTAAGTAATTCTGGACTAAGGTTAATAGTAATATGAATATCATCATCAACCTGCTCTTATTCCTATGGAGGGTTGGTTCAGTATGTACTACTCATCTATATATCTCTAACAGCCGTCATATCTGAATCTACCCCCTTCCTATGCATATCCTCTTTCACACAGACATACCATACTTATTAGGGTTTCCTCTACCTTTGTTGCCATCCCCATTCAATCTTATTATTTTTATGTCAGTGCTTATATCATCATCATCCCTCCGCATAACATGTCCAAACCATGCTAACCTTTTACTCCTCAATTTAATATGAATGTATATTTTAAAATAAATTTTAAATCATTACTTTGTTTTACAATTTTTATTTTACAACACACTGTATTTCAGGACCGGAATATGTCTGAATATCTTTACAATTCCGATATACTGCAGAAGTTGGATTTCAGTAAGAGTCCAGCTGTTTTCAAACCAAAAATAAGTGCCGCAAACCCTGGTGCGGAATGGATGGTTGTGAGACCGTTACAGCGAGCGGATTTTGATAAAGGCTTCTTGCAGTTGCTCAACCAACTGACAAGTACTGGAAACATCACAAGGAAACAGTTTGATGGTAAGTTGCTAGTGTTTTTTTGTCAATGGTAAATTCAACCTTGTACTTTAGTAACTATTAGTACCTACAATTTTACTAGTAGATTAACTATGACTCTCTAGTGTTAAAATACATTTTTATTTCTGTTTCTGCTATAGAAAATTGTTAAAGCTACAAATTGATTGTGATGAGGGCAGTAGGTATTTGGATTATTTTTTAAAAAAAAAGCTAAATATTAAATTTGCAATGTTATGCTTTTTTGATATGTTGATTCTGTCTAAAATATAAAGTTTATAAAGATAAGAAAAAAAAGTAAATATATCATTTAAATGCTAATTAGAAAACCTTTTACTGCTTTAAAATAAGTCTAATTATAACATTACACATAAAAGCAATGAAACCAAAGTTATGGTCTGATAAGCCTACTACAATTCGATAGGTAAACCAGTTTGTAATATGGAATGTTGGCCTTTGACGGTGTTGATACGTGACCTTAAATAAATGCGACAAGTTTTACAACAGCCTTAAATTATTTCTGCCTTCCTGGTCACTATTTCAATGGCATTTTGCACTTTATATATTTTTTTCTAACCTACCTTTTGTTTCATTCAGTACATTGATTTTATTATTGGTCTATATTACTTTTGCTATAGACTATTTATTTATAGTAAAACATATACTTAAAAACGTTGTTTCCATCGTAAATTCTTTTTTTTTTCATTTCATAAATAATGTTTCAATTGTTCATTGTTTAAAGGCATACCTAGCACTTATATGTTTAATTCTAAGCTTCATATATTTCGTTGGATATTTTTCAACATTTGTACTTCAGTATGTTTACTAATTGTTTTTTAATTGAAGTATCATGTTTTAAAGTGACACTGATATACTGTAGATAATTATTAAGTATTATGATAGTGAATTTATGAATAATCTATTGTTTGTTCTCTATCTATTGTTTTGTTAATCTATTGTTGTACCTATAATGTGCCATATTGTGAAAAAATGTGTAACTACTTTCTTTGACCATTAGAATGCGATATAATAAAGGACCCAATGAAGATAGGATTTTTTACGTTTTTGGTTAGGCTACAGCCAACATATGATGTTTACAATATAAAGAATAGAGTACTTACTATAGGTAGAATATAGTACCCACCAAGTCACCTGAGTTTATCTATCATATTGTCAAAAGATATAACATAACAATATTTTTATAGAGATTATGTATATTTACAATAATATTTCTTATAATTTACTATATTAGAAAAATGTTGAACTCAATAATAAATGGTTTTACTGTTTAAGGTCAGGTAAAATATTGACTTAATGACCTTGAAATGTGACAAAATTTGCAATAGGATATTATATAATTCACTAAAACTTAAGATTTTAAATAATACAACATAGTTTATATTGTTTTATAACTATTTTGTTTTATGTTTTATGATATTTATATGATCTATATTATTTCAGAACGATTCACACAAATGAAGATGTCGGGTGGCTACTATGTTACGGTGATTGAGGACACGCGTTCATCAAAGATCATAGGAGCTGCTACACTGACAGTGGAACAGAAATTTATTCATAACTGCTCACTTGTGAGTAAATTACATTATAATAAATACTTAATCTTATATTTGAATCGGAATAGTTGCTGCATAGAGCATATATGTTTTTAGTATAATAACATTTGATGAATATATTTTTTTTTATTTCAGCGTGGACGCTTAGAAGATGTTGTAGTAAATGATACATATAGAGGCCAACAATTAGGCAAATTGTAAGTAGTATATGTATGTAGTAGTATAGTAGTGGATTTCCACTACTATGATGCTTAATACTGCAATATGATGTATCAAATATCATGGTAGTGGAAACCTATACTAAAGATGAGTGCTTTATGTAAACTTTATTTACAGAATAGTAGTGACAGTATCACTACTGGCCCAGGAGTTGGGATGTTACAAAATGTCACTTGACTGCAAGGACAAGCTGATCAAGTTCTATGAGACACTCGGGTACAAGCTCGAGCCTGGAAACTCTAACGCCATGAACATGAGGTATGCAGAAGTCGGTTACTATTTTCATGTTTTTTTTTCCCATGGTTACGAAATTTAGTTAACTCTGAATATTTGTTTCAGATTTGATGATCCCTCCTGACAATTAGCCGCTGGGGCGTCTGACCTGCGCTCTAAACTGTAAGTTACAACACAGCCGAGCAGCTCGCAACAACGTTATACTTTGTCTGTTTACACTGACGAAACATTCTAATAAAAACTTAGTGACAAAACCTGGGTCTCTGATATAATGTTTTATGTGAATGTTTCGGCAGTGCGAACTCGCGGTCGTTATCATATCACACTTTCGCTTTTTTTTCACTCAATGTATTTTATCAGTATGATACATGTGCTTGTAAAATTTTCATATTACAACAGCTTTGAAATATATCAAATACAAGATGACGTTCCGTTTTGTACTTAATTTACCATAAAGTGATTTATTATTTTTGGTTAGGAACATTTTTAATTTCTTGAAAAAAATATAAATGTGAAAGTTCTGATAATATTGCGAAGTTGTTGAAATAATTAAAAGCAAGAATTGCTTTATTTCATTATTGATTGTTTAGCAATTAAGAATGAATTCTAAAAGCTCTGCTTCATTTCCTGTTAACGTTTGTTGCGTTTCCTGCTTTGTTGTGAATGTAATTACAGTCGCGGGGTCAATTTTTCTATCCATCAATAAAGTTGTTGGCCAACATTGTAAAAATATAACAGAATAATTTCATCGCAAAGAAATTATTCGGCGAACACTATTATTTATGGGGTGTTAAATTGATTTTGGATGCCTTAGCACATAAGAGATGCCTTTTTTTTTTCGCTCAAACTACAAAACTAATAAGTGTTGTAACCATGAGAAGTGTTGCCACATTAAAATATTATGTTGCCATTGCTTGTCATTTAGTTTTTTTTCATTACTATTTTAGTTGTAGTCTTCATTATGTAATACTAATATTAAGTTTTTATTTTGTTATTAAAACATTTTGTTACTAACCTTCATACTATTTTGCTATTAAAAGATTTCGCTTTATTTGTTTGTTTCATTTCATAAATATATTTTCATGACTACCTTTTTTAAGAATTAAAGGATTATTATGAAACCGATAGATACAATATACATCTTTTTATAGATTTAGGAAAGACAGGATGTTAATAAAGATTTTACATTTTTTTGACAATGCCAGAAGATCGTATTTTTAACCCAAAAATTAACAATACTTCAATGAGATTTTGACGGGCTTTTTAAAAATAGAAATCTTAAAGGGTTTGTCGAATAAAAGAATTTGTTTTTTTTTTCGCTTTTATTTACAGAAGTGTAAATTTTCGTAATTAGCGCGTAGAATAAGAATTTCGCTTACGACACATTCAATACAATATCAAACACATGCATCTCACTGGAAAAAGTAAATTAAAATTATCTTTTTCGCAAATATCAATTTTAATATCAATTTGTCATATTTGTAATTTTACCTTTTCCAGTACATTTTGCAACATTTAAAAATTCACACCTATTTACTTATAATAATTCTCTTCGATAAAATACAAAATTTGGGCAAATTAAATTCACATAAATCGTTTTTTTTTTCTTATAAAGAGGAATGGTATGTAAAAGTGCTATTTCGGATTTTAAAAAAGAAAAATATAATTTTTGGAGGCTTATAAATCTTATAAGGGATTGCAGAATAAAAATTTTTTTTTTTTGGGACGAATTATACTAAAAAGTTAAGTTTAATTAATTACAAATATCTCAGTTCTGGCTATTACTTTTTTTATTACACGTTTTATTTTTTTAATTTAATTAGCTTCTAAGTTATCAAGACAATACAGAATGTTTTTATTGATTTATTATTTTAAATTTCGAAATGAATACTTTTAAAAATAAAATGAATAGTTACTGGTCAATATGAAAAATATTTAATCGTGTTACGAGAAATTTAATAAAAGTTATTTTTCAGATATTTGTCTTCGAATGATACGGAATAATAAATGGAACGAAACACGACAATTGCATCAATCTTGATATAATCAGTTTGATAAGATGATTGGATATAATCAATGATAAATAATCGCTTTTGATATGTTCAATGATGAATTATTATTTAATAAATTTTTGTAATATTATAAAGAGGTTTTACTTCTGAAGACGATTTAATGTCAAGTTTTTAATTCGCTAGCGTTGATTTTGACAATAAATTGGTGTTATTCTTTCATAAGAAATTTTTACTTTAATCAAGAAGGGAGATTACGAAAAAACTTTTAACCTTAACTTACCTTAAGTATTCATAAGCACAATAATCCGTTCACTTTGCATCAAAACGTTAAGGCTGTTATTTCAGATCAGATTCAATGTCCGTGTATTAAAGTCTTTGAAATTGTCTAGTTTTTTTTTATTGTTTTGTATAAAATGGAATTGTTAGTGCAACTTTTCGCGAGTGCGCGAAGACTTTTTGTTTCATCGTAAGGCATTCTCATTTACAATGGAAAGGGAGCGAGCGAATCGTAAAAGAATTTGAATCCCCTTGAGCTATCAAATATCTATATAGTTACATAAAAAGGTCAAATAAAGAAGTAGGGTCCGATGTTTTAAAGCTAGATAAATGTTTTTTTTAAAAATCGATATTGATAAATATGTAAAAGTACTGGCCTGTTGTAAATGACATACAACAATGATTGCAAATATAAAAGAATGATTTTAAATTGTAACGGAAAACTCAAATCGCTCGCTATAAATGGTTGAGCGATTGGTTGGAAATGATAGCTTTTGCTTTCTTACGGTTCAAACGCACTTGTGATTACCACGGCTTCCAACCAATACCATTAGCGATAAAATGGTGAAAATCAAATAGGCACAAAATACTTAGTCTTATAGCCAGTCCAATTATAGAGGTCAGTGACATTGATCCACCAATCATAAAACTCTTTCCAATACTTACCTTTATTACCCGCTCCCAATGTTAGTGCTTGAAATATTGATGTCAAAAGACATTAATCAAATTTATAAAATGGCGGCAAAAACGACGACGCCATATAGAAGCGTTATTTAGGGGACGGGGTAGTTGCGCCAATGTTGCTTGGTCCGTATGGGCTCTAGAAGGGCGGCGGGGGTCCGGTTATCTTGGTGCCCAGCTTCATTGGTCCCTGACCGCGCGCGCTGCGTCTTGCCTCCATCTCTCTTTGTCTCTGCAGTTTTCTCTCCTCGCGTTTTCTTCTCATTTCATCCATTTTTGATGCATTGTTTTCTAAGATTAAACAAAAAAAAAATGATAACACTAAAATATAAAAGTACAAAAAAATTTTCATTACATGAACATTTTTGGAAATTAAAGAACGAGTGAGTAAACGAATTTCCTAAATAGTTAATCTACACTAAGGAACTGTTTTAACATGCATTATTAGAATCTGATTGCCAGTTCTAAAAAGCTTAAATCGAAACGCGGTTAATTTAAATTTGAATCTTGGTCAATAAAAAGCTGTGTTGGTGTGTATTTTGGTTACCGTCAGCATTCTCCTCAATTGGTTCGAACTCTGTATCCTCCCACCCTGCAAGTGAGTCAGTGCTGTGCTGCGAGGCGGGGGCGGGGGCGGGGGCGGGGCGGTGTTGTGGGCGTGGCGCGCGGGGCCGCGCACGTACGTCGCGTGCGCATTGTTAGCAGATGATATCACCGCTTCAGACCACGTCGCGTTGTTCCATGTCTCCGATGGACTGGCTAGATCTGCTTCCGCGCTCTAAAAAAGAGAAATTTAAAAATTAAATATGTTAAATTTAAATTTTTGTGTTAATAAAAACAATATTTGCAAGAATGATAGCTGTTACAAAATTCTACTATTCTAAAAAGTGTCATATTACAAATTGACTTCTGAGATCTTTCTTATTCATGATTTTACAAATGTGCTGTAATAAGTATATATAGTTATAAGTTACTATCTGTCGCCCGCAACTTTGTCCGCACGGATTTAAAAAAAAAACTTAATAAGTAGCCAATGTGTTCTTTCATACTGTGTTCTACATCTGTGCTAAATTTCATTACGATTCGTTGAGCCTTTCGAAGATACTTTCTAACATCCAATCATACATACATGTACTTGCGCATTTGTAATATTAGTAACTTTTGACCGTTTCGAGACTTTTATACAATCTTATATATAAAATTCTCGTGTCACAATTTTCGTTCCCATACTCCTCCGAAACGGCTTGACCGATTCTCATGAAATTTTGTGAACATATTGAGTAGGTCTGAGAATCGGCCAACACCTATTTTTAATACCGCGCGGACGGAGTCGCGGGCGACAGCTAGTAGTACTATAAAACAGGAATCATTTATTTGTTAATATGGTGTATGTGTGACGTGTGTATGACTCACGGGTTGTTCCTGCAGCGTGCCCCACTCTCCGTCCCAGTCGTCCTCACACAGCGCGGCGAGTGCGGGCGTGGCCTGCGCGCTGCCGCTGCTCGCCGGCGACTTGCCACTCCCGCCCGTCCCCGTACCTACGTACACATTCACTTACTTACATTTGTTGTAAAATATTAAACTAGTATTGAATGCGTTTATTATTTTACTTGCTGAAAATTATATGTATCTTATATACTTGCTTGAATTAAGATTATTTATAGTAGAGTTGTTATAGCCCGCAACTCGTTTGGGCGCAATTAAAAAAAACATAATTAGTAGCCTATCTGTTCTTGCAGATTATGTACCATATCTATGCTAAATTTCATCGAGATCTATGGAGCTGTTCTGGAGATACCTTCTAATAAACATAACACGGTAAGATTTGGCACATTGTGCATAAGAGTATTTTTGAGCCCGACGTGCCAACTCAAGCAGACTGTAAACTGACCTGCACTGGAGTCGATCTCGCCCCAAGCAGTCATGTCCCAGTGCTCGGGGTCGTAGTCGGACGCGGACTCGCTGTGTTCCAGTGACGTCATCGATGTTACAGAGGATGTTGTCGTCGACATGCTGCTTGACGATGGTTGCTCTAAAATTATCAGTTACATTTAATTTAAAAGATTTTAGTACTGTTCCGTACACCAGTCGGTAAAACTTATATCTTTATAAAGTTTCCATATTGGCATTTTATATGAAACCAATTTTTGCTTGCTTTTTAAATTCTTAACAAGACAAAGATCGCACATGCGAAAGGTAAGGAGCGACACAAGAGTTTTTGACCATTTATTAGTTTATTATGTCATTACTTGTGGGTTTCTGAGACTAAATGTCCGCTTAAAACATATTGTTATCTCTGTTTTGTAAAAGATGAAAAACAAGGATGGCGATATATTTATGCAGAGATTTTGGTCTAAGAAACCGACCGTAAATGTTACAATGCAGGATTAATAATGACGTAGTGCTACATACCGAGTGATCCAGGTTTGGAGAGCGCAGATTTGACGGAATGCTGTACGCGTGCGGTGTCGGAGTGCGAGCGATAGAACTTGGCGGTGACAGCAGTGACTGCCCATCCAGCCCACGTCGCAGCCGCGTTGCTAAGCGACGGTGTCGCCGTGTGCACGTCCGCCTCTACAATATACACATATATGCAATGATATTAAATGGACAGGATATAAGCCGTAGAACTTTGTGCCTATTCGATTTACGCTATTTTGGCGGCACACAATTATATTGGATAATACTTAGGAAATTTATTAGAAATCTTTTTAAAATGAACTAAAATTAAATAACCTAACATCTTACCCATTCCTTCCTTCAAGCTTGGATCTTCAGACACTTTCTCCAGTTTACCAAGGAAGCCCCTTATAGTTCTGAATGCCGCATCTCGGACCTGGAAGATAAAACATACACTGTATAAATCAGATTCTCTGAAAGTATTTTGAGATGGTTAAAAACAAACATATTAATTTTCTGGAGTATCCTGACCTGTTTCTCCGGGTCAGTAGTTAGAGGGCAGAGTGCCGGCAGCACTCTATTAGCGACCTCAGCGAGCAGGAAGTACTGCTGCGTGGCAGCAAGCGCGAGCACTCCTGCTTGCCGCGCGGGCGGGAATGGGTCTCGCGTCGCACGTACGAACGCGGATACGAGCACTTTTTGACGTATCTGAGGGTGAAGGTGCGCTGCGATCTTGCCCAGACATACTGTAGTGTTGGTCCTGTTATTGCATATTTGCATTTATGCATCGGGGCAAAACTGTCTTACTATGTTTAAGGTAGCAAACAATTGGAATTACAGCCAATTTATCTTGGATGGTATATACTGAGTGGGTAGAATTAACGAAAACATTTAATCCTAATCTTATATATAAAATTCTCGTGTCACAATTTTCGTTCCCATACACCTCCGAAACGGCTTGACCGATTCTCATGAAATTTTGTGAGCATACTGAATAGGTCTGAGAATCGGCCAACATCTATTTTTAACCATCCGCGGACGGAGTCGCGGGCGACAGCTAGTTTATATTATAAATGCGATGTTTAGATGGATAGATGTTTGTTAGAAGTTACCTTCCGAACGGCTCAACAGATCTCAATGAAATTTGGCACGGTTTTTGCGGGCGAAAGTCAGTAAGTTAATATTAAACACTGTCTGAGCTGTACTGGAAATTATAATAAGCTGTACACAATTTTACCCTGGAGTCTCCAGGTATATAAAATTATCATATCATTATATAATAGTTATAAAACAATTGTATAATTTTAAATATATCTCATAAAGTTAACGGTAGACTAAAAAAAATCTTGAAGTCTCTTAAATAAGGATTTTAAACATTCAAAAAACTATGAAATTTTAACACAACTTACCTAATACCTCCTTGGTCGTCTTTCGACTGTAGCCTCGCGAAATGCTTTAGTACTTCAACATTTAAGTTATTGTAATTAAGTTTCGATGACAAGTGAATGATGGACTTGACAGTCTGCTCTCGTATTATCGCGTTAGTGTCCAAAAAGCCGTGCACCACTTGCGGAAATATTTGGTCATTTACCTAAAACATATCGATGTATTTCATATAGCATTTAAAAAATATATGTATATAGATATTATAAAAAAAAGTCCTACACAGAAAAAAGTACAGATTTTTTTGCTTAGCTTTATCCTGAATGTAATTTTATTCAATTTTACCTCACAAAGATATGGAACTAAATCAATTGCTGTTCGCTAGTCTCGCTAAAACTCGAGAACGGCTGAACGGATTTATCTTATCTTGGTCTTGAATATTCGTGGAGGTCTAGGGAAGGTTTAAAAGGTGAGAAAAATAAGAGTAATAGCCGGGAACTAATTATTTTTTTTCCATTTTACACGGACGGAGTCGCGGGCGACAGCTAGTTTGCAATATTTATCAACTTACAGTAGAATTCTGTAGATGCATAATGAATTGATCTAATTGTTGCAGCAGTCGCGAGCGCGTAGTTCGATCATTGGAAGCGAACAGCTTCACAACACACGGAACAATCTGCTTCTGATAATCTTCTTCTTCCAACAGTTTACCCAACTGAAATACAATGTTTATTTTAAACCAATACCAAATCTAAGTGGCATGACTGTGCCCACTGACCTGTATAAGTGGACTGGCTATAAGACATAGTATTTTGTGCCTATTTGATATGCGCCATTATGGCGCTGATTAAACCTGGTAATACAGATTGAATTAACTGTCAAGTTACACCACTATACGCGTTTAAATTGGATCGAAGCAAAAGCTATAATTTTCAAGCAATCTATTTATAGAGAATAGTGACTGTGAGCCACTTTTGTGGACTACGGTACGCGTCCACTGGCCCGAACCGGACAAACGCACGGATTAAATGGATTTGCTTTGCCTTTTTGCGATGTGGGCGGTGATTTAACAACCTATAAACTTGTATAATAACATGCAAAGAGGTTTTATAATATTCAATATTACAAATTTTGTGTATTTTATTGTGTACACTTTTTTAAAGATAAAATTGTGTAAACTTACCTTAAACATTGGTGCCAATACTGCAGAACCAGCATCTCCATAATGAAAAGCAGTTAATAACTGTGGCAAAATCTTATGTACACAAACTGCTTCCGGAAAGTTGTCCAAATATGAACTAAGTGTTGAGAAAAACTTCACTTTCTCCAATTTGTCTTTTATTTGAATCTCTTCTAGGAACAACATTGTATCTATTAAATCATTTTTGAAATAGCCACCTATTTTTCTACATCTGAAAATGAAAATATGATTACAGATAAGCAAGCCGTTTCCTGTGACTTTTGCTACATGCAATTAAAAGAATTTAATCTTTAATTGCACATTTTGCCAGGAACCCAAGTAGGTTATATACAATTTCCAAAATGTTTTTTAAATCTGTTACAAATTTCAAATACATTAACATAGCTCATTTAAAGTTATGTATTAAAAAATCTATCTAAACTTGCACTTCTTATAAATATATAATGCAAATATTTGAATGTATGAATGAATTGATGTTTGTTAGAAAGTATCTCCAGAACGGCTCAACACATTTCAAAGAAATATGGCATGGATGTAGAGCTTAGTCTGGCAGAACCCATAGGCTACTAATTACAATTTTTTAAAATTTCACATGGAGTTGCAACCACTAGAATATTATATTCGATTCGTCGATTAAAGGTAGGCAACGCATATGCAATTGCGTATGTCTATGGGCATCGGTAACTTCGCTATTTCAGCGATTTCAGGCGGCCGCTCGCTCGTTTGCCACCTTTTCATATAAAAAATATATATTATTCAAAAATACCTTGTTATAATATCAGCAGGGTTTGGTCTGGATGCAGGATTTGCACTGACTAATTCACAATATAATGTACAAAGCTGCTTTGGTATAGTATCAACTGTTTTGAGTGCTGGTTGATTTTTTAATGGACCATTAAAGGCCTCCCATATCAAACACCCTAGACCCCACATATCTGATGAGCTGGAAAACAGAAAAATACCTTAAATACACAATACAATATACAATATTTTTTTAACTTATTTTTTAGGGACTTTTGTTCTTATGAACATGTCAGACCATTAATAAACTGCTTACAAAATAATTACAACTTCAAGTATAAGAAAATAACAAAAATATACAAACAATAATAATAAGAAAAAGAAAATTTAAAATTTTTTAAGGCCACTAGCCAGTATGCTGCGGACTTTGCCTCCTGTCTGTGTCTAAAGTTTGCCAACATCAAAATAATATAATTGATAAGTTACATGACATATTTTTATCTACAAACTTCAGAAAAATTAAAAATATACAGATAATTGCATAATTACCATTTTGTAACAGATTTTAATCTGGCAGGATCATTCTTTTCAGGTGGGTCATATATTTCGAGGGCCGGTAAAATTTTAATAGGTATAGGACTAGATGTCTCTTGTCCCTGTGCTGTGAGGAACTCAAATCCTCCGAGCTTCCATTCCCCAGCAGATGTGACAAAGACTGAATAAAGGCAAACATTGTTGTGTCTCATGTTACCATCATTGTTAAAAAATGATAATGCTCTCTGGAACAAGTTAAGTTATATATTACCATAAACTTTTGTGATTTTTAGTATTATAACATTTTAAGTTACGCTGCTTAAACTCTCAATATTTCGGCACACTTGCATGCGCCATGATGCCAAAATATTGGGAGCTCAAACAGCTTAATCATGGTAAGAATTTTATTTCTTATGAATGTTATTAAAGCTAAGTTACAATAGTAATATAGTGTACCTAGAATAAGCATAGAAATGTTAATTTAACTTATATTTTAAAAATAGCTATCTAAACATGTTTTTGTCTTATTACTAAATTTCAAAGAGAAAAAGGATAAATATTGGTACTGATAACAAATGTCAGTGCCCATATTTAAATTTATTTCCGGTGCAAGATAATATTTATCTCATGAAGTAAAAACTAAAATAATTAACAAGAAATCCAAATGAGAGTGATAAAATTGAATAGAACTAGTTAATGTTTTGTTTGATAAAATTAGTTGTGTGAAAATACTTACAGTAATTTGAAATATACCCCATGCTAGAAATAATTCTTTTTGTTGACCTTCAAGTTTCATATCTTCCAAATGAGTCACTAAAGGTTCAACATATTCTGTAGCTACATATAAAAATTTCTCAGTTTCACAACTATCTAAATAATGTAATAAGCTGGGGTGTCTCATAGTTTTCAGTTTTTTAAGTGAAGCTTTCGCTATATCGAATAGGGTCTCCGAGTTTTTCTGAACATCAAACAAAAAGATTGACACCTCATCTTGGGTTCCTCTTTTCTTTCCCTTGTGTAAAGACCAAACTGATCTATCTTCCAAACCTGGAATTGGATCTCCCACTTCATATGGAAAGTCCTTTGTGGGATCCCGTGAAAAAAACGACCACATATTGCACCAGAGTCAATAAATACTTATTTACAAGTTGTAAACGGTTTTATACACATTTTAATAAACGTATCACATAGATTGTTGTATTTGAGTTCATGGTTAACGCACAATCCGTAACTTTGTAGGAATTGTAAAGTTTTATACAATAATAAACCGTCAATTACTATATAATTTAATAAATATAATTACTAAGATATAATACAAAAGAGATGACAAGCTGCAAGCTGGCCATGACAGGACGACGCAGTCTTTAATTTATTGTCATAAAAACAGATTAAATCCCACAGAACAAAGAATATTTTCATACGCTACTGTATCAAATTAAGACTATTTAATATGGATAAGTTCAAAAGGGTATAGTATATCAATAAGATATCCTTTAATACTAATATATAAATGATAGAGAAACCTTTTGAATAAATCACATATAATTTTTTTGTCATTTACGGATGTTGCAGCGAACAGCTGACAGCTGTCACTTAAAATGACATACTTGACTTGGTTGTGACTTATAATAATTGACATTTATTATATTGTAGCCATTTGAGGTTAGAAAAATATAAAAACAAGAACCTAAACATGTCTAAATCAGTTGCTAGATTAAAATCCATGAAAAAAGTAGCTGATAAAATAGACCATTCTTCTAAATTAAGAACCAATGTACCAGCCGGTATGGCAGCTGCGGGACCCCCTTTAGGTCCTATGCTAGGACAGGTAACCATTTATTATAAAAGTAAGGAAGCTGTCTAATTTACAACAAATCAAATAAAATCGTTTTTTTTTAGCGTAATATAAACATAGCAGCATTTTGCAAGGACTTTAATGAACGCACTGCTAACATAAAGCCAGGCATACCATTGCCTACTAGAGTCAAAGTGAATTCTGATCGATCATATCAACTTACTATTCACCAGCCACCAGCTTCATATTTCATAAAACAGGCTGCTGGTGTCAACCGAGGTGCTATGCATCCTGGTAAGTAACAGTTTTAATCAAACTACTGGACATATCTAATAGGGCTTTTATTAGTACCTTTTTGATAAGAAAATACCAGAGAATGAAATTTATCGATCCAAAACGGAGAATGAAAATGAGGAAGGCTGAATCCAAGTAAATGGGACAAGGTCCTGGACTGAAGAAGTATAACTCCAAGAATAATAAATAGAAGGGACTTAAGATATCTATGCTCTCTTATTTCAGAGTAGCTTATGTAACTAATAAACATAATACAAATTAATATCTGCTGTATAAAATACTAAATATATTTTGTATGTATACTATTTCAGTAAATGAGATATGTGGTAAAATAACACTGAAACATATTTACGAAATTGCAAAAATCAAATCACAGGATCCACCTTTAGAATGGAGGTCAATAAAAGAAATATGTACAATGCTTTTAGCTACAGCAAGAACATGTGGTATTGAAGTTGTCCGAGATCTTGATGCTAAGGTATAATTATTTTGCTTTACATATGCTTTATTATATATACCTTTTTACATATTGGTCTAGTATGCCTTATTGTCAATCACATCATAAATCATTCAGTCAAAATCTTATATTAGAGGGAAAATATAAAATTAAACAGTTTGTATTAATATTATTTTCATCTTAGGAGTATGGTGAATTCCTTCAAGAAAGAAAACAAATAGTTGAAGAGCAAAAGAAAATGTTGCAAGAAAAGCGTGAAGCTAAAATGTTGAGAACAGCATAGGTTATTTGTTGTTAATTAGATATATGTAGGTAATATAAATTTAGATTAAATAAAACCACAGTAATTGTTAGCAAGTGTTTTATTAGACATGAACAATGATACTAAAACATTTATGAGGTTTACGTATTATGCTATGGATATGAAAAATAATTTCATTTAATTATCTATTAAAATCCTGAGAAAATATTTGGGAACTATAAGAATGTTGCTCAGTCTACATTTTACAACTAAAGTTAGTACTAAGAATCAACAACACCAACCACAACACTTGATAAAATATATTTACCGTAGAATAACACTGCTGTGACATTTGTAATCAATATTGCCATCCTTTTCATTGTCTTTGACAAAACAGAGATGACAATATGTATTAATATACAGAAGAGTTTCAGTGCTCTCATTTTTACCATGCCTTTGGAGGGAGTAGTTTAGGGTTGTGTGACATTTTTCTGTTCACAGCTCTGGGTGGTCGCCCTATAGCATCCTGTCCTAAAGCCTGTACTGTTCATAAAAGGCTACAAGTTTATCTAGGCTGGTTAGAGACACTGCTATCATACTTCTGTCAGTTAGTTTATAATGTCATGGAAAATGACATAAAAGATGAATATGACAAGGCATAAACAAGGATCTTGTGACATTTTTTAACATTGATTGGGTGGGGTCAGACAATTTTGTCTATCCATACAAGTATTACAGCAGTTATTTCCCGGTTAAGATAACACTATTTACAAGCATAATTTATTGAGCACCTAAATTACACCTGTCAATATAATAGACCTATTTTGACTTTCATAAAAAAAAAAATCACATGTCAGTAATAAATTTGAAACATAAAGAATTAACAAAAAAACTATTTTCCTTAGTAATTAATCATTTAATTAGATTACATACATCATATTATTTGTCAAAACGAGCCTATTATTTTGTTATGAATTAATTTCTTACCCTTATTTATCAGAACTCTAATTATCACAAATTACAGTCTGTCGAAATTACAGTCCAATACATACTAAAAAATATTTTCTTCTTCTATTTAATAATGCCTCTATTGCTTATACCCTATGAGATTTCTAAGCTAAAATGTTTATTTGTATTTTTTAATAACAAAAAAAACAAGGCGTAGTTTTATATCTATAGGTAACAAGGCAAGACTACTGTCAGGTAATACTGTGACTATTTACTAAAATATTTTGTTCACAGAATTGAAATAAAATTAGTATATCCGCTGTTTCAAATCAAGAGCTAAATATTTAAAAAAACTTTTACTATAGAAAACATTAAGACCGAATGGATCTTTTCCCAATTTAATGCTTTAATTGAAATTTTTGTTTGTGAAATTATGAAATAAAATTCTTTAAGGGTCTTGATTTGGAACAGAATAAAAAAGTTATAAATATGTTTTTAGTAGTCTTAAATAATTTTGAAATAGTATATAGTCGATTGTACTAATGAATTTGCATTTATCGTCAAACAAGGATATCTGGTCCGATAAGAAGCGCTGCTATCGCTGCTAGTTCTGTCAGAAAATATATAAAACCTACATGATGGCCATAAAAATGGCAGAAAAGAAAAAAACTACATGACAGCTACAGTACGAAAAGGACCTATTGACACTTTTTAGACATTGACAGGAGGGCGCTAGAGCCGTCATACTTTAGTTTGCTTTATGTCCACCGGGTCAGATATCCTTATCAGTTCACATATAAAATATAAAAAGTCTGTACATAACCAAAGTTAATATTTGTACTGCAAGCAAATTATTGTACTTTGAATACTGTTTGACATAAATATTAAGTGGAATGTATACTGAATCGTATTGTGTTCTGATATTTTATATATTTAACGAAATGTACTTATATAATGGACAAAATACTATGTACTAGGGACTATTCGTTCCAAATAATTATATACTGAAGATATTAATCATATCCTAAAAAAAGCAAAATAAAAAAAGCTATCACACATTTAAAACTACGAAGGGAAGACAATGATAGTAATTGCTACTACTTTCTATTTAATAAACATTATACCAGGACCCAAAAGTATTTCATAATTTTTAAATTTGATTTTTTTCGAGAACAGTACTAGGTAACTGGTAACGTCAACAGCGAACAATAAAATAAAAATCTAAACAACAAAAATAGTTTCGATATCGAATAAAAAAATAACAAAAATTACATTCCCTCTGTATCTGGCTAGTTATAAAACTATAACTAAGAAGACTATCTTCTTATAAGGCTTGGTTACTATACGAGTACACACGTCTGGTGAGCTCATTTGCGAATGAAATAATATTGCTCGCATACATAACCTCAATTGCGAAGATATTTTTTAAAGATAAATATGGATTTCAGATTTAAAAAAATATCCATTTTACTATACCAATCTATTTAACACGTCAAAATAATATCGAGACTTTATTCTTAAAATGATTAATGTCCTAATAGTCAAAAAAAATCCGGGCATACTCGTAGTGTAACCCTAGCTAAAATATTACGAAAATAAATTGAAAAAAAAAAAACTATAACCATAAACCCCTCTAAATCTTTGGTATCAACAATCGTTAGTGACGTGAGCGGAGCGCTTCAGTCTGGGTGAAGCTGGCAACACCTCTGGGAGTTCAGTGACCTTGTTTATGGTAAAGTCGGGCAGATCCGATTCCATTTCGTCTTGCTGCAGCGGTATCCATACGGTTCCACCTAACTCTGCTTCTTTACCACCCTAGAAAGATAAACAAAACCAGATAAATAACTTAATTTTTTTTTCATTAATCAACCATTAATTAATCTTCAAATAGATTGGTAAAATCAATCCATAAAAAAATATTATTTGATAATATGCTTGGAAAAAGTTGTTTTTTTTACCTTAATATCTGTTTCAAGTTTATCACCAACCATGATGCAAGTGCGCGCTTCGACGTTGAGCAGCTTGCAAGCTTCTAGAAAGATGTTTTGATCGGGCTTCTCCCAGGGCAGGTCTCCGGAGACCAGGACGCAGTCGAAGTAGTCCCTCAGGTTAAGTCGATCGATCTTCTGCCACTGGGCTCGCGACGGCCCGTTCGTGATCAGACCGAGTAGATAATCCTCCCTGTGCCACATTCATCGACCAGCCTTTTGTTATTCCATGGCAGAGACCATGCTGAAACTCAGCACATTATACAACGAGAAGCGAATGACCTTGCACATTTAAACATACCAAACGTGCAAGAACATTTTCACTTTAATCGGTTAGGTCATTGAGAAATCATATGCGGATATCTTAATTATGATTGTGATGTGTTGACTGTACCCAATTAAACCGTCAAACTGTTACTTTAAAACCGTCAACGCAACACTCGACTTAGCTTAAAACGTTTTTATAACTGTGGAGATATTTTTATAACCGTTATTTGAATATTAACATAGTAGTTTTTAATCAAACTGTAATGGTAATATCACGATTAAAATAAGGTTTAAATTATCTCCATAATTATGATGAAATTTTTGAGGCATTCGTTACCTTCTCCATGGTGTACTTCCTCACATATTTTACATATACAATTCAATACCTAAGTGTTGCGCACGCGGCGCCCCAAGTTTAGTCACTCCTTGAGCAACAACTGAACTGTTGAAAAACAAGTAATTTATTAGCAACATGCGATTAAAGTCAAACCAAACGAGTTGTAGATGCATTCGTAAATATTACATTTAAAAATAGTACAAGCTAATATGCTTTCACAACGTATTGGTGTTGACTTCCTCATGATACATCAATGTCAATGCCTAATGCACTGACAACACAGCATTATGTGGCATGCATATTACGAGTATATTGACTTGATGACTGTAGAAAAAAAAAACAATGATGGCCAATGGCTCAGTATTAATTTCGAAATTGATGATTGAAAATTACGTTTTTGATTACCAGAAAAACAACACTTACCACATAACACCATGCATGTTGTGGTAAGGTTAGTCACAAAACAACATGGCCGAATTTGACAGCAGCTGCACATTATAATGAAAAATAATAAATCAATAAATTAGTTAAGTTCCAATTACAATGACATAAATCTATGTTTATTTCAATTCTTAATTAAATATTGCATATTCAGAGAATTAAAATTTTTGTATATCATTTTGTATATATTTTAGTATCTGTCAAAATGGACCGGTTATATTGTGACATTTATAAAAATAATGGTTCTTTGATGATAAATTTTCAACACATAAAAATGTAATGTATTGGAAGTAAATCTATAATCTCAGAACGAATGTAATGATAGAGGCAATGTCTTTGAACAAAAACCAACATCAAGCTAAAATTAATTACGCACAAAGAAATTGCCACAAAGTATAGAAAAGTATGAAGAAATATTTTAATGATAATCCCCAAAAATATTAATAAAACATTAAATATTTCTGCATAACATTAACATATAAACATATTAAATAGCACACTTACCTTAATGTTTCTAATAGATGTATGACGTCAGGAGTCAGAGCTAAATATTGAAATCTCAATTTTAACCATTCCTCAGAAACTTTTTCTGTAACAAAATTTTATTTCAATTATTTAAAATACATTTAGGTATTACTAATCTTTTAACAACGGCAACGCATCTTTCCTCTGACGTTGCGGATGTCCATGGGCGTCGGATCAAATAATATTAGGCGATTCGTAGCTCGTTGGCCCCCTTCTCCTATAAAAAAAAGGATACTAACTACTTCACACTAATTTTTATTGTGATAATAATATCTTCCTCGGACAATAACATTTAATTATCTCAACCCTGAGCCTAAACCGTGGGACCTTGTTATTTTAGGTACAGCTATATATTATATAAAATACTTCAAGGGAATAAAACGGTCATAATTATTTATAACATTGGCCGAAAATGTGTTTGTAGCTTTGAGAAAAATAAAACTATACAATATTTTTTCTATCACCTTTATCAATCTGGCAGTCGGAGCAATGTTATTTGCGTCTTAGCAAAATGTGGGAAGTTAATTTAATTCGAAATAAAACAAAATTAGTCGTATAAGCTTTCGCGCCCAACAGTCAGATTTTATCAAAGATATAGCTTATAAATATTAGAGTTCAAACAAAGCATTCATAGTACTTTCATTACTTAAATGTGTTATGATAGGATTTGAACTCTGGACCTACGGGTCAATATCATAACTGAAGTCTCTAATCATATATTTTGATAGGAAACATCCACTATCATATGATATAACTAAGACGTAAAACGAAAACAATACTGAATTAACATTATATTATTTTGTTATTATGGATATAAGTAAATATTACGTCAAAGACAAATTACGTAATATAGTTTTTTTATTAAACGAACACGATTATTTTCGTAGAAATAACTAAATCTACGTGCCGTATGTCTTCCGTGTTGTGTGCTGAATAGATAAATAATTTGTTTGTTTCCAATTTATGAATCTGATGTAATATCGATAATACGATAGATATACTAGCTGTAACTGTTCATAGCAGAAAACATTTCCACAACACAATTTTAACGACGACGTAACACGGAAAATATCTGCGTAATAAATACTCGGGATTTCTGGAAATAGTTTTACATCATATGATTCATAACAACCTATCGAATGGACGGATAGAATCGATTCAAGCAAAGTACTTCGTATTTCCTCTGTCCAAATAATTTTCTATGAAAAAGACAGATAATGCTGTTCTTAATTTTTATTATAAATGTCAATCAAGCGAACAGCCTCCTGATTTCTATAAACAACGAAGTGACAGCTTCTCATAGACATTTTCAACAAGTGAGAAGGTTGCATATAAATAGAGAATATTCCTGTACGTATGTGTACAATGTATAAGATATCACAGACTTTCTCATCCCATCATTTCCTTATAAGAAAGCAAGTTCTAGTACTATTCTTATGACAGAATTAATACACAGAAGAATAAAAAGACCGTCCAAAATTATAAGAAATACTCATAAGCAAATAGAAGCTTGTTTTGCAATCACAGTATGAAACGCAATAATTTAACTGGCTGCAAAAGCGTAATTTTTGCTTTTAATGTTGGCGCTGTGCCGAGAGCGGGAATTCACGCGATGCACAATTTAATGACTTCGCAGATTTAACATACAGTACAAAGCGAATGTTTCTGTCCAAACCACAATTACGCTCGAGGTTATTATCTTCGGAATTATGGATTTACGTTGAGTAACCACTTATTTTAAAATGGCCAGGTAGTCTACCAATATTATAAACGTCAATAGTTTGATGGATGGATAGATGTTTGTTAGAGAGTATCTTCGAAACAGCTCAACGGATATTAATGAAATTTCACACAGATGTTGAACATAGTCTGGAGGAACCCATCACTTATTTTATTTTTCTGCGCGGTAGGAGTCGCAGGCGATAGCTAGTTTAAAATAGATCATAGGAATAGTATAGTAATAACTAAATATGTTCATTACTTTCATAGCACAAGGCTAGACTACTAGACTAGATACTAGGCATTACATGATCGTATAACGTCCAATGTTACGAGTAGAGATTTGGGTACCGCCTTCGCAGCGAGTTTTGCGTTTAATCAATACTTCGTTTGTTTTGAAGGACACTATATACAACTGAAACTAAAATATGTTGAGCCTACGATATACTACCTCGTATTCGATAATTTATAGCGTATAACTTATTCAAATGCAAGGCCTGAAGTTTGTTATCTCATTAATATTATAAATGCAAATATTTGGATGGATGATATTCGTTAAAAGGTATCCCCAGAATATTAACTATAACTTTTATCAGATTATAACCACGAAGAATTCTGTCTTGAGACTTGTATAACATCATAATAGCTATCTTTGTTTTGAAATATAATACAATACCCTAAGGAGATGACAATATTAAATACTACAAATATTGCGACATTGGAGGCTCACCGTAATACTAGCTATGAACTTATTACAGGAACTAAATTTTTTTTTGATAGATAAAAGTAGCGAATATGCATTGGTTGATATTAGAAATATTGAAGTGATTGGATACTTACTAGCAATATGCCTGTAGTTCTTCGGCAACGAATTGCGCCATAAGTGAGCCGGCCACTCATCCAACGCGTACGTCTCATCGTCTGGTTGGGCTCTGAAGGTGCTCAGGAATGTGGCAGCGCTCTCCGACGCAATGTCTTTAGGCAGCCCATACTGCTGGTGTAATATCTCCACTAGCTGCGGATTTTAAATAGCTATGACAGATATTTGCGTACACATTTATATCATATCTTCCTGTATCACGGAACGACAAATCAATCTGGTGGACGTATGGACGTTTGAAGGTATTTCCAGGACGGCTAAACAACATATAGAACATAGCCTGGAAGACCACATGGGCTATTAATATTGTTTTCAATAATAATAATTCGGCGCGGACGGAGTCGCGGGCGACCGCTAGTATGTCATAATGTACTTTGTATAGTTCTCAAACATATTAGACCAATAAAGGGCTATGAATTAAGAGAAAAGTAGCACATACTCTGCTGTGTATAAGTGGGAAAAGGACAGATATAGTGCTGCAAAGTAGTGCTAAGTGAAAGTCCCAATCTTCAGTCTTGTATTATACTTATCATTAGCTCATTGGTTTGTATTCCTATAGCGGACTACTTTAACATTTCTGTCTAAAATTCTCGTCTTTCTACTGTTAGGAAGAAAATCCAATACTGTACTGCCGTAACACTAGCCTTACTAAATTGTCGACATTTATATCACCAAACAAATTATTCTGACACTTGACTTTTTAACGAAAGCGTGCCATTCGCGCCAAAGGATTCTAACTAATAACGTTTAAAACTACACAAAGAAAGACGATCTTGAAGACTCCTTTTTCATCTATGATTAGATTATAAATTTATTACTGCAGTTTTCTAATAATATTATATTAATATTTCACCCACACAGCTCTTGCTTACTAATTATACCATTAAAAACAAAAACAACTCATCAAGAAGCTCAGCCAAATTGAATGATGAAAATAAATTAATGTCATTTGTTAATCATACACATGAAAATAATTGCACAAAGACATACAGGAATGTGTGACATGACTAAGTAGAGTTGGGTAGGAGAAAAAACGATGACGAAGCAAATTATTTAGAGTGGCAATATCATACAGAGATGTGGAAAGGAAAGGTGATAATAATAGTATTATGAATAGCCATAAAATAAGTATGGGTGAAGAAATATGAAATGTAGGAGTACAATAATAATAAATAGAAATCCTAAACTCTCTTACAACTGCTTTGGTTTATGGGTGAGAGTGATTAATTATCATTTTATCCCGGAAGCAAGTATTGTGGCAATATAAATGTCTGCACAGCATATGCGAGGAAGTGTTTGAGCCAGGAATAGCATGAGGTTAACGGACTCAACTCTTCGTTCAATCACCTGTTCTTTGGCAGTATTTCAACTGAAATCTGATATTGACATTTTACATATTCTTAAACTCACTTTTAATATTTATAGTTAACATAAATACAAAAACTTTTTCTAGTAATATCTACTATTGTATTGCAAAAAAGGTAAAAAAAAGGGAGACTAATCCTCAGGTTGCTACTATCAAACTTTATCACATTCAATTTAATTGTCACTGTAATGTAAAATTAGGAGTGATAAAATTATTGTAAAAAATAATCTTTTTCTTTTTTTTTGTGGGTAGAATGGAAATAAACAAGTATTGAACAATTCTCAAATCCTTTATTATATAATCTGTATCTTTGTTAATGTTTACAATACAATGCTACCAGCAGCATAATGCAACAACAATAATACTTACAATATTTACATTAACAATCACAAATTTAATGCAAACAACTGAACATTCAAAATTAAGTACTGTTAAATTGTCAAAGTAAAGAAAGTCCCAATTTAAAACAAATAGTTTAGTCTCCAAAAAGCTTTTTGCCTAGTTCCATAAACCGATGGTTTCTGCACATCTTAAGAGCACCGCCTTTCTTTAGAACGGGCTTCACACTTTCATTAGAATCAACTAATCTGCAAAGGAAATCTTCAAAAGCTGATTTAACATTCGGTGGCAATGTTCCAACTTTCACCTTTACAAGCATTTCAGCTATACCTTCAGCCCATCCACTTTCTATTGCAAATTCAGAAATCCATGGTACAATAGTCAGTACTCCACTCATTGTTTGCATTCCCAAAAACCATAAATCTGCAATTTCATTCCAATGTTCTTTGTATGCCATTGATACTACAAGAGCATTGGGGTCATTTGACTCATCAACATTATAAGCATCCCACAAAAATCTAATAGTAGACTGAATGTATCTACAAATTGAAAAGTCATTCTTCTTCACTTTGCTACTCTGTTGTTTTAGCAGCAAAAGACCCAATACTGCCAAGTGCCCATGAAGTACTAGGTTTTCCGGTATGTTCTTTAATTCAGGCAAATTGTTGAAAATGAATTTTAAGAGGGTATTAAACAGCATACTGTTTTCAACCGCTTTTGGTGCCAAAACTGTCAGGTTCATAAATATATTGCATAGGCTGACCATTGCTGCTCTTGAATCTCTCATGTCATCCAAAACCTTAGGATCCAATTCGGGTTCTGGCTGAGTGCGGGCTTTGCCTCTTTCAGATTTTGGAATAGGTGGTTTCTTATAATGGACAATAGACCAATGGAAGTTCATGGCTTCATAGAGTATATCTTCTTGTTTCAAGTTGAATACAATATCTCTCGCCTTGTCTTCAACCACAAGATGGCAAAGAGCAGGTAGCATTAAGCGCAGTAAATCTATTTGTCCCATCAGGCTTATGTCTGTATCCATAGGCTCTCCTTCAGACTTTGTTTTTTCTGCGAGTTTCCTTGCTCTGTATGCATGGAAAGAATCATTAGCCAATGAAAACATGTAAGGCATCAGTGAATAGATTTGCTCCCTCATTGCTGTAGTTTCTTGTGCAATCCATGCAACTAAAACTCGGACCATAGCACAAACAAAAACTTTTTCACTGTCAGGAAGTTTGTCACGGTTTTTGTCATTAGATACTTTTGTGAGGATTGAAACAACAGCATTAAATGCTCCTTTAAAGCTGGTGTACACTGACTGCTTTTCCTTTTGCTCTAAATCTAACTGATCTGTAGCCATGTAGTTGATAGACATTTCAAGAACAATGAAGCAAGCAGTTACTAATTCTGCATTAGCATATGCTTGTTTGAAACTCCTATCTTCAAGCTGCATTCGAACTTCAATCGCACACAACTGCAGAAGCAAAAGGAAGAATTTTTTTGGATTCTCTTCATCCAAAAAAGTCCACTCTACTCCAAGAAGTTCAATAATATTGGCAGCTAGTTTGAGAGCAGGGTCTCTTTGATTCTTACCAATTTTGCTGGTAAGTATATCATAAAGAGCTCTGTATATACTCTGTGGCCAAGTCTCATCCGCTGCACCGGGTACAATAATAAACTTGTTGCAGCTGTACAGAAGTGCACTGAGTATTGTGGCCAGTTCAAACTTCCTCTCTGATTGATCAGTAGCAAAATCCAGAGCTATTTTATTGACTAGTGCATGGAACGGTTTAGGATCGCTTCCCCATGCAGCAGGACCATACCGACTAACAAGTTTAACAAGAATATTGAGGGCTTCATCAGTTTGGAAACTTTGGTGAGAATAGATTTCAGACATTTTTGTAATAGCTCCCACCTCTATTAATGCCTTTTGTCCAGCCTCCTGTTCTGCAATGCATTGTAGACAAGTGTAAGCTTCACTTATTATGATCAGATTATCATCATAGTCTTCATTGTCTGAGGTTTGTACAATGTCTAAGAATACTGGTATATTTGCAAGCATCTCTGGATGAGTTGCAAGTTCTGGTTCATTACAGAAGGTGGTCAGAATAGAAAGGGCAAGCGATTTGTACACAGAGGGTGGGCAGTCGTCCACCACATTGTTATTTGTTAACAGCTTCTTCAGAAACTTAAAACCGATAGCTTCGAACAAAGCTTTTCTTGCTTGAGAATTGCAATCCTTCCCCTTCACCAATTTTGTTACCATGAAGAGTGCGGCAAATTTTTCTGTGTCGCTTTTTGCCATATTTATTATAAGAATGCATTTTTTAATTGATTCTGGTATGTCGTCCATTGTCACAAATTGCACGAAACGATCACAAAACGCAACAGATCGCGGTCCACTGAGACGAGGGAGCAGTTGAATTGAGCGAACACTGTCTACATCACGTTTATAATTAGCGCGGGTTCTCTTCCAAAATATCTAAATCAGGCCGTCTAGCTCACGTTCTCCAACTACGAAAATCCTATTTTTAACACACTGGAACGTGAATATATAACACGCGGACTGCAAGCAGTAAAGCAACGAACAGTGTAGGATATCAACGACGTAGAAGCGTGCGGTGACAGCGCGCGCAGCGTGGATTCGTTTCTAACTTATCCATGACCGTGGCAATGTCACAATTTTGATAAAATAAAATTACAAACCTTATTGCATGCTCGGCTGTCTCCTTTTCTTGTTTGTATTAATGTATTGTCTAAATCGAAAAATATAGCTGAAACATCACAATTTTCTACGTATTCACTATTCATCTTTCTAAATTTATTGATTGAAATGCTATTGGTAACAAAAAGAAAATGTTGCGTCAATCACTCCGCTCTCGTCGTCAAATAATACTCGTTTACCTCCCTCTCTCAGTAATAAACGTAGTTAAAATTTTCCGTAACTCCACACGAATATGTATAAAAGCGCCATCTTTTATTGCGTAGCGGTAACATTTCTAAAATGAGACAAACTCAAGCTCTTGTCAGCTTATTCTCCTAGATGGTATTACTGAACATTTGAAAATTGATAATTTGTTTTTGCCTCCACAAATTATCCACTTCTATATCAGAGAACTTAATAGACTTTTTTTTGGTTCAATGGAGTCGTTCGACTCACGGTTATTTATTTTTCTTCATAACTAACAAAATAATACAAAAGACATATAACTAAACGTGCTTTCTATTTTCAAGGCTTGTGAATTAATAACCTAGTTTAGTTCGCACGAATTGAACAATCAATGAATAGAATATAGGTAGTCGGCGCGGAGTGCTCGTGGCATTTTCATTAACTTCCATTTGCCCGCTTTCCTAGTCGTTTCTCCGCGGTTAATAATAAAACGCGTCATACAATACGTACCTAAAGATAGTATAGTAAAATCAATAAAATCACTGTTACAATTGTTTTAGTCGCATGGTGTAATTTTTAGAATAATCTAGTTGGAGGGAACCGGCTAAATTAAATCTAACTACTGACTGAGAGTTGATAAATGGCCAGGGCTTGCCTTAATACATTCATATCTTATTATACCTTAGGTTTACTATCATTAACCCTTTTGTTCATTTTGTATAGTATGCCATACATACAACTTTATAAAAATATACGATCAATATAAAATAATTTTTAACTAATTTTTATTTACTTTGATTTTTGCTTTTCTTCAAAAAAGAAATCTTGCCACTATAGGGGTTAAAACGCATTTATTTGTCAAAAATATATGTAATGAACATATTTTATGCGAAAGAAATATATAAAAAGCAGTTGATAACAAATAAGGTGAAACTTTAATCAGGTAAGCGAAACCCGCGCTGGAAACAGCTGCTTCAATTTGAATATCATGAGCCAAAGTTACCCAATTCGTTTACATCATATTAGACAAAAAGCACGATCGTTGGATTGAATATATAAACTAGAAGACTAGATTGAATGAGTTCTAGGATATGAGAATATGTTACATTTTAATGCATAAAACTACATTGACTTTTGCTTTTTCATATTTTATTTATTAAAGTATGGGATTGTTTTCAAATTCGATTTATAATTAAATGCGATAATGTTTTACCAGTTAACTTAAAATTAAATTTGAGATAAACAGTTTTTCCAAAAATATAATATTTCTAACGAGATTTACCCTAAAATGCAGTCTATGTTTAACATATTTATTGGATTGAGACAAGATATAAAGGGGGTCAGTATACCCTTGCAAAGTTTTAATGACATTTATCAAGTAATACGTAAAGCTGTCTTTCGAAACTTCGCTTATAAACGTAATGGAATCACGTCAAGTCTTTAACATGCTTTCAGTGTCAGTGCAAGAGAGTTATTAGAGGAGAGGCATACGTCTAACGTCGTTTACAAACTTTCTTCTGATTGACTGACCGTGTTTTGTTTTAATTGTATTATATAAATGATGGTGCAGTTGAAAGCTTAGCTACAACTTGTTAATGATTTTGCAAAGTTTCTAAGTTATATAGCTGAGAGGATGTTCCTTTATACTCTTGATAAAACCACGACTTGAAGTTGCAACTATAGTTGTTTTCGAACTCAAAGGACAGTTGATTTATATATAGAAGTCTGCGAGAAAACTATATCTATGATAAGAATAGATTATTGAGGTAGAGATGGTGAACATTTATTATTTCTATTTAATACAGTTATTATACTGCATTAACTCTCTTCATGGATTTGAGGATAGAAGACATCGGAGACGAATTCGCTTGTTATATTGAATTTGGAAGTAACGAACTGCGAACAGTATTTACTTAAAGTTGCGCCACCAGCTGCGGGTAACGAGCTAGGCGCATGCACACTTCAGTTCTCGTGACATGATCTTTGAATCTCCTCTGAATAATTAGTAAGAGATATCAACAAAAATCCACATTATTTTGTATCATAGTGCTGGCTTGCCTTAACATGTGGAGCATAAGAACATCAACGCACAGCCAAAGACCTTTTTGTCATCTCACATACTGTCCTATCGTGGGTCACAAGCCCTACCCTATGAAAGTAGGTAACAAGGCCTTGGTCAACCAAGCTGGATTAATGTAAATAGCTTCACAGATGTATGTGCATGTATTATCATGTTTATCTTTTAAAGTGGAACACATGTTACATTTTAGGTTAGATTAACAATAAATACTCATTCAGAAAATCCCAACGATGAATCTATTTGTTTTTAATCACAGTGTTTTTGCCCAGAACGTTCATTATTTTGTCGACATCGTAAAAGTTAAAAATTCAAAATCGTTTTAAAAATATGTTTTCATAGCGCAAAAAAATCACGCAAATTAATATGCATGAAGAGATACGATATATTCGTTTATGACTTCGTACGCGTGAAATTAAAAACTAAGGTAGCCTATGCATTATTCCAGACTGTAATCTATGTATATTTTAGCCGACCTGGGGTTACGTATTAAAAATATCCACACATCCATCCATACGTTCATTCGTGCTTTCACATTCATAATATTAGTAAGATAAAAGAAAGATTACGAATCGATTCATACCACTCACGGTACTCCTCTCAGTCGTTCAATAAATACAGTATAGTAGTAGAAAATATTGCTCACTTGAAGTCGCGTTATGAGAATCGCTGACTCTTGCTCGCTGAACAAAGTGCTTTTATTAACAACAAGTGCGTTAGGGTAACTTCGATGTGAAGCTGTTGCCTTATTACCAGGCATTCGTCGCTCTGAATACAAATGCTTACGTCACTTTGTGAGTTAAAAAGATTTGTGCAACATTTGGTATTGTAAAATAGAAGTTTGACATTAAATTTATTTATACATTATGTTTACGAAGAGGCACATTTAATAGTCAATTAATAACTGTGTGTGGTATAAAGTATAATAACTCCTTGTTACTTTTTTGAGGTTATGTTATATAATAAACAATGTTTCCAAGTTAAATATAGATTAAAAATAAGAGTAAAACTGGCAACAGTTTCCGCCGACATGGTCGGAATGTAAATAAGTTGTGCAAATACTAATTACGAGGGACATTATTGACAATGAATGCTACAATTCAAACAACCTTTTGGATTTTGCCTTTACACAAATAAAATTATAATTTAAATATAATTATGGATTTAATGAAGCATCCTTTTACGCCATAAATCGACTTATGACCGAAAATTTATTGTTTGTATTGACGAACTTCTATTTTTTATTAGATTTTCAATTACACAAGACAGTTTATTTCCGTTTAAAGAAAAAATTCTACAATAATAATGTGGACTAGATATATTAAAACTTTTTAAACTTTATGATAACTGACCCACTTACTTTCACAGTCCCTAAGTGTAGATTTTTGACACTAAATTTACGCTAAAGACCATTAAGTGACTGTTTAATATAGCACAACAGTAAGAATATATAGATAATTCTATCAATATTTTACCTTACGAAACATATTAACCAAGGGTAAAATGGACATTTGCTGCGTAGTAAATTTGTCTCTCTGTAGGTGGGTTGAGGGTAGGTATGGTAACGTGAGCTCGGTTGGGGACCTCATTATAAACTTCTAAGCTGTTAGGATCGGCGTTGTTAAAACGAAACTAATACTACCCACCTTACTGTTGGGTATTTTGTTATTTGAGATTAAAACATATTCAAATTTTTATACAAGCTATCCCAAATCCGAATCTTACCTATACTATACTGGTTCCTTCGTAAATAATAAAATTTTTTAAATTGTTTTACATTTTAAAGTAACAAAGGTTATCAATAAAATATGAAAAAAATTATGCAAATAGTAAATCAGTTTGATATGATTATTTACTTCGAGACCTATGTATTGAAATGTTAAATTTAATAAAAACTAACAATAATAATAAATATGTATAAATTGTTTTTGCTATTTTTAGCTATAATTATTTTATTACAAACATTATGAAAGATCTTATTTAATAATGCAACACAACGAAATTGTATTTACAGAAACATAATCGCATTATATGCGATATGCATTAAAATCTCCACAGGAATTAAATTAATTTGCTTAAATAAATATACGCTTTCAAACTTAATGTAAGTGCGGTATACAGAGTTAATATTTGTGATTCCATCTCTATTGTCAATACATTGGTCTACATACTTATTATTCGTACAATTTATTAAAAGGGAAAGAATAAAAAACAACGTATGTTTCATAGTCTTTATAAACTTTATCAATAATATAAATAAAATTGGTGTGTCTGTTTATAATATTGAAATAACCATTTTTACTACATGTATATTAAGATTAACATTTTTTACAATTTTTGTTTGTCTGTCTGTTTGTTTCGGCTAATCTCTGAAATGGTTGGACCGATTTTGACGGGACTTTTATTGACAGGTAGCTAATATAATAAGGAGAACTTAGGCTACGTTTATTTTAGAATTTTTTTTTAATTTTAGAAAAATAATACAAACAAAGGCAGTAAAAACACAGGCAAGTCGCGGGCACATGTATTAGCTATAAAGTTAATAAAATTAGAGTGTCTGTACCGATCTGTATCGAAAACATATTTCGTGTACCCGTATCCGATTTACCTAACCTGTTACGATAATAATTTTAAAATATTTTTGTCACAATGTTGGTTGTCACATGCACTTACGTCACGGGCAGTTGACTTCCGGTCGTCAAGTGAAGTGATTGTGGATTGCAATTGTTACGTGTTTTAGTGTCGGTGAGCCGTAAAACCATCTAAGAGCCAGGACATCTAACATGGCGACGAGGAGTTAAAGTGAGTACACAATAATGTTATCTTATAAGCAATAAGAAAAACAAAGAGGGAAAGGTTGTTTTTTTAATGTATTTCGTGGCTCAAGGTCATCGGGTGCGGGCGGCACGTTGCAACTGCATAGTGCCCTTCCCCCTGCATAAATTAAGCCCCGCTAAACCTAGCATTAACTTTCTTTAGCGTCTCGTTCGGTGTTTCCAGCCGCTAAAAGATTTGAAAACTTTAAAAGGTTAGACTCTATAGATTATTATAATTAATAATGAACAGATTAATTTCACGTTGTTTATTACTAATACGTTTCGTTACATCACTATTATAAAATAAAATTAATGAATGATATTTACATACACGTATTCTTGAAATAAATCTAAATATATACAATAGAAAAGTAGATAAGTATTGTTAAATCACAAGAAAAGTACAAAGTAAAATATAAAAGTCAATAAAGCCAAAAGAGTCCTGTGACTAACATTACGTCCACATCATTTCACACGCTTTCAGGACGGCTCTAATAAATATGTCTCGTGAACAAAGGGGGCACGTTTTACTTCACAACGTCCGCGCATTGCGCTCCAAAAGATTTACTCAATCTTCTGCCTTTCATTTTTTTTATTTCACTACGAATTACTCACTTTTATTTATCTTTAATTCATATGTGGGTTTTATTTAGACAACGTCCTTCTCAGTTATAAACTTCTTCCATGTTAAGTTACATTTGTAGTAATAAGTTGATTTAATTTCAGTCCAAATCGATTGTGTAACTGTTTTTAAGTTCTAAAAACTAGTGACATTATAGAAACTAAGTTTCGATACGACATATACGTCTACGGACATTTATGTTATGAAGACAAATTACAACAAAATAATCGTTTTTAGACATTAAAGTCTTTGTAAATTCCTATCATAGACATAATGGCGGCTTGAATGAATAAATATTTAATAGCGTAACATAAAAGAATGTCAATATTATAAAGTATTACAAGATCAATAGACTATTCAAACATTCTACTTCAAATGTTTAAAAAAGGATTTACAAACTGCATAATATTAGCATACAATTGAGATTACAATGGTCCTTTACGCTTGGATATTTCTTATAATCCACTTCGAAACTGAATATAAAACATTTGTTCCTTATTTTGTAAAGAGCTCTCTAACTTTACATTGAGTTGCTCAGACTACATTGTCTTGAGAACTTGTTAAAGTAACTTATTTGTATTCACTGAAGGGCAAAAACAAAGAAAAGGCTAAAAACATTTAAAATGTAAAAAAATACCTTTTGTGTAACACTGGCCTTTAGAAAACTATAAAAACAGAAGAATCAAGAATTTACTGGATAAATATTAAGAGTCCAACTCTAAAAAAAATAGATTATTTTTATCGCACGCTGTTATTAGACATAACTAGAATTATGATTATTAAAATCTATATATATAAAAGAAAGTCGTGTTAGTTAAACTATTTATAACTCAAGAACGGCTTTACCGATATGGCTGAAAATTGGTGAGGAGGTAGCTAAGAGACAGGAGACGGACATAGGATACAATATTTAATTTTTTTTCGATTTTATACCTTGAAGAGCTGCTTTTTATTTAACTTATCTATATATTAAGTTCTTTTTTATAAATCCTCGCGGACGGAGTTGCGGGCGACAGCTAGTTATATATAAAATGCGTAAGTGTTCAATTGATTATGCGGTGTCTTTCAAAATACGATGTAGATAAATAAATAACAAAAAACTAATAGCTGATACATATTGGTAAAACATATTTTTTATGTCCACCTTGACGTCCCTAATATAAATCCTCGGCGGCGGTGAAAGGGTTAAAACACGTTTTTAACAAAATAGTAGTCTATTGCTGTATTTTTAAGAGTAAAACAAAAAGGATATAAATAAATACTTTTTTTAATACTTAGCAAAGGGAGAATAATAGAGTAAGAGAGAAATAGAGTATTAAATCGTATTGGAATATTAATAGCTGTCTTAGAAACAATGAACATGGTTGAGATGTTTCAGACATATTAGTGTGATATCATGTTTAGATATACCCGTGTGTACGTATCGTAATCGGCTTAAGCTTAGCCTTACTGAGCAAGCCTACATCAATAACGTAAGGAATAATGCAACCTATACGTATTAATAAACAATTGAGCGTTATCTATACTATAATAATATATTTAGAGGGACAGTTTGTTTGTTTGTTACTTTACATTGAATCCGAAACTACAGAACTCATTTGAAAAATTATGACCTGGATGACATATTAATTACTAGATTTTTTTCTGCACGGAAAAAGGTCGTGGATAATTGCTAGCGTATAATAAATACAATACCAATAATTTAATCTTTTTGTTTTATATCTTAAGTAAGTCTCCTTCAGAAGAAAAATGGTGTATTACTTATCTGTGGTAGACTGCACAACAGCATAACTGGCTATAATAAAAAAAATTCGAGATTTGAACGCACCTTGCACCGAATCTCCTCAAGGTAATTTTAGATGTAACGAAATATTGTTCCGTTTCACACAAATTTTAGAATTATTCAATTGACTTTATAAAAATGTTCCGCCATATTTGATAAAATATTAAAAATGTCACAAGCAGATGTAGAACAAAGCGTTAAAATTGAAGATTAGATAGAAAAAGATAAAAAGTAAATGACGCGGAAGTCCGAACAAAGGCATGAAATACGTTCATCACGCAGGTGTAGGAAATTGAATTTCATAAGCGCAAATCACACAACCTCTATTACCATATATGAGAAAAAGGTGACATTTCTCCATTTCTGAATATGAAATAAATGTCATCGTAATTTTTTATTATATAAATTGTAAAGCAATATTTGGTATCCTTGTTTTTCGTGATAGGATTGTTAAAGCTTGTTTTTTATACCAAGCTACATACTTTTTAAATAATAATTTAAAATAAAGTATTATGCAACAGTTCAGCAGTAAATTGTGAATATATTATTAAATAATTTCATCAAATCTTTTATTACTTAAATGTCACTAACTTGAGAATCAAATTGCAGACGATTGAATAACATCTGGTGATTACTATCTATGGCTCACAAAGTTCGCAAGTCAAATTTATCTGTTAAATGGTAATACGAAGTAAGTATAATTTGCTCTCATGAAATTCAATTTTGTGCCCCTTTTCCTTCTTTATATTCAGACTTCTGCGTGATTTAACTCACGCTATTTTGTACGTCGACATGTTTAATGTCCCATGTTTGGTATAAATGTGAAATAATTGTTTTTTTCTTTTTTTTTAAGGCAACATATTAAAATTGTTTTAATAGCTTTAAACCATACAGGAATTTGGTGTATTGTGACTCAAAAAATGAAATAAGAATTGACTATACTTATTAATCGTCGATTAGTGAATCTGCATTATGACATTTTTAAATGTAATAAATATTGAATTGTCTAGAACAGTTATAGAAAGAATAAAGGTAAATCACGCGGAATCGGAAACACGGGAAGGATAAAATCCGTTCGTCACAAAGAAGTGGCAAATTGAATTCCGTAATCCCAAATCACTCAACCTCTACTGCAATTTCCGAGAAAAATGTCATATATCCTTAAGGATAGAGAATATACTGGCTTTTTAACAAAATAAAGAACTAAACTTATCTAGTTTTTACGATTAAGAAGTATAAAAGAAATACCTAGAGTTGAAACGTCTAAGTGTAGTAAAAACCACGTTTAACAGTAACGTTTTTCATCACATTTTCTCATTCTTGGATTATAATTTCTGAGGAAGATAAAACCAAATGTTATAATTCTGAAAGAGGTCTCAGCAAAAAGTTTTCATTGGATTTCTTGGAGCAGATTGTGTTGCGAAGTCATTCGGGTGACCTCCTCATTTGTATTCACGACCAGCTTGCGGCCAGCAAATCGAAAACGGACACTTCGAAATGAACGAAAACAATAATAATAAATTTATCAAATCTTGTTACTCTTCTCAATATTATATTAGCTCTATCGCTATCTTTTATCATAAATATTAAACAACGAATAGATCTTCTGAATCTTCAATCAATAAAATAACCTATTTACATAACACCTTTATTTTATAATAACACTAAATCCATTTTAAGTTGTGTTCGCGTTCGATTCGTTTATGTCTAAAAGGTACAAATCCTAACAACAAGACAAATTACTGGCCATCCATGTTTCATTTCGTTTCGATTCCGGTCTACTTTCGCTGCAGTGAGCTACAGGCGTATGAATAGTGCAGGATATTCGTGAGACATTGTCAAGATGGGCAGTGGATAACGCTTCCTCCGGCAAACATCGCATGTGTTATCGCCACCTCGCATCTGACTTGTCCGCTTAAGCTGTCCACTGCACGGTTACCTAAGCCCTTTTGTCAGTTTCATTTACGTGAATAAATACACCTAAATATACAAACATTATACTTACTAACATTTATTTGTTATGCTTTAACAAGATAAGCATTTATGTAAGAACAATTTGCGTACCAAACATAAGCGAAGAAAACATTTATTTTAGATACTAGCTGTCGCCCGCGACTCCATTTGCGCGATATTAAAAAATATAATTAGTACTCACTGACACTTCGCTCTTATTGGTCGCAGCGTAATGTTATATAGCCTAAAGCGTTCCTCTATAAATGTTATATCCAACAAAAAAGATCTTTTCAAATCGGACCAGTAGTTCACGAGATTAGCGCGTTTAAACAAACAAACCAACAAACTCTATTATATAGTATAGATTTTTGCATTGATTATTTTTAGCAAGTATTCTCGCAATTTCATTAGTAAGGGTAAATTCAATGTAAAATATAAATATATTTTGTTAATAACAATCTGGAGAATGGTTAAGGAGGTTATTTAAAGTACGGTGAACCGTCACCTCATTAGTCTGGCAAGACGAGCGTGGACAGGACAAGTTGTAAGGTTATTCTTTATTCGCTATCTTCCATGTGCCCACTCAGTCGCGTTATGAATACAAGATTTGTGTGTACGTAGTTTTGGTTATAATAATTCAACATGATATAAGTTATAAAATACAATTTTTTAGTACAAATTTTAATGTCAACAAAACTAAATAAATTATACGATCTACTCGTATTATAAGGATTCAAACCCACGTCTCATCCAGATATTAATATCACTCAATTAAAGTAAGTGATCATAAAATATTAAGCAATAATTTAGTTAGTTAATTTATATTCTGGAAAATTAATTTTTTTATAAGTACAAAACAAATATTGATGATGGAATCTGAAATCGATCTATTGATGTAGAGTGAACACAATTTTTTCATATATTTACAACAACGTCCTTTCGGAGAAAAACTAGCCAATTACTGTGAGCCACTTGTTGTCCCTACTTTGCCATAATCGTTACACGTTTTAACAGTGGTAGGGCCCGCTTTAACATCTTCGCACGAATTGGCCCGGCTCGCCCGGTGAAATACCACGATCACACAGAAAACAGGCGTGTCGTCTGATGAGTATGCCTGCCGGAGGCCTACTTTAGTCCTCTTTCCCTTCCTACCCTTTTTCTTATAAGGCAAGGATGGGAAGTGGAAGTGGACTTTCCGGATGAGAGGATGTCTCCTCCGTCGATTAAAGGTAGGCAACGCATATGCAATTGCGTATGTCTATGGGCAACGGTCACTTCGCTATTTCAGGTGGCCCCTCGCTCTTTTGCTACCTTATGATATAAAAAAAATGTATGTTGACTTCTCTAAAGGAGACTTTAAATCTGATTAATATTAATACCCAATTTATTTCGGAAACGTATTGTGTAAAAGATTTTATAATTAACAATTTCGTGTACTGACCGTATTGCAAATGTGTACGTGATACAATACACCGAAGTCCAAAGGAAATTACGTTTATTCGTGCGGACATCGACCACTGAATAGAAACGAGTTGCTAATGAACGGACCAAATGAAATTTCCTAAGATCGACCGCGCCCCTCTTATAAACACATAACAAACGACTCTACATTGTACACAAATATTCTTGTCTTCTCTTTCATTCTCTTGTATAAAAATAGAGATAGCGATATTTGTTTAAAGGTTTCATTTAACTTACTATGTTAATTTGGATTAAATCTAGTAATTGAAATAAGAGCCACTTTCCATTTTTTTGCCAGCCAGTTTGACGTTTATGTTCTTTTTCAACGAAATTAGAATTACTTGATATAGGTTAACATCTTACTTCTTACTAATATTATAAATGCGAATGTTTAGATGCATGTTTTGTTTTTAAGGTAACTCCGTAACGTCTAAACGGATCTTGATAAAATTAAGCTTATACATATATAGAACATAGTCTGAATGAACACATAAGCCAGATATTACGTTTTTTTTAAATTAAATTGTTCAAACTTTCGTGAGACATTATACTAAACTAATATAAAAACGGCTAAACACTCACGTATATTCGTCCGGTGGCGGTATTTTTTTTATCTGCGCGACGGTGTCGCGGATGACAGTAAATTTATAAGTTTTTGAAAGCAAACTTCGCTTGAATTAAATATATACGTATCTAGCCGATGCATACATACAGAAGTAACTCAACACAAGTGCAGTAACTTTGCGAAAATAAAAACTAAAGCCAACACAGTTAATAACCGACGTTGCATCGGCATACTAAATGCGCGGCACGTGTCGTTACGTGAATAAATAATAGCAGCAGCACTTCTGCACATGTTCACTTGAGACTTTTAATTCAACTGAAACTTAAATTCTTTTCTCTGTTTTTAATATTACAAAGATTATTAATGTGAATGTTTAGATGGATGGATGTTTGAAGGTATCTCCAGAACTGCTGGACGAATCTCGATGAAATTTGGCATACATATAGAACTCAGTCTGGAAAAACATATAGGCTATTAAGTATATATTTTTGATTCCGTGCGGACGGAGTTGCGGGCAGCAGCTTTCGGTTAATAAAATCAGTTCTAACAAGTATTAACTGTCAAGGGAAGGCTTGTTAAGGGTTCTTTTGTTTAATTTGTCATTTTACACTACTCATACTTAATCTACACTAAAGTATCAAATACTTCGAGTTTGGCAGTAGACAACAAAGAATAAACTAACCTCAATTAAGAGAAACACGAAACACGACTGACCGTCTGTTTCTGAGATCGAAATCCTCGTTTAAAACATATTGTTATCTCTGTTTTGTCAAAGATAAAAGATAGGGAAGGAACTATATATTTTATAAAGAGACTTTGGTGTTAGAAACTAACGATCGTTGAGACTTTTATGGATGAGAGCTCGATCTAATGACTGCATTTTAAAATAACGATAAACTTTAATTTAAAAAATACGTTTAATCTTACTAATACATGTTATAAATGCGAATGTATAGATGAATGAATGTTTGTTTTAAGGTATCTGTAGAATGGCTGTATGAATTCATGGTCAATTATATAATAGCTAACAAAATAGTAATTTTGCGAGGCCTTTTTTCGGCTATATTTAATCCGTTAAAAGCATCGATGGTTCTAAAAATTTACGGATTTATTTATGCAATTTTTTTTTCAGTAAGAGGATTGAAAAATCTGTCCGATAATAAGTAATTTATTATCAAATCGAATGTTAAATGTTTTAGGTCCTTTTAAATTGCACTTATTTAACGCTTTTTGTTTAACAAATTATTTTAATATTCGTATTCTGAGATATAAACCTATAATTAGATGGAATAATTATATTTTGCATTTTAAAACACATTTTGAATAAAAGAAAAAAAATATTTTTATATAATCGACTTCTATTTAAAAAATCAATACATTAAAGTTACTTATAAATATTATTTTTTTTGCCAATTTCGGATGCGAAAACCATTTTCAATAAAGCACTTCGAAAAAATTGTGTACATAATTCGTTTCACGAAGATCTTATCAAAGACAATTTTTGTCAATCGGCGAAAGCAGCTGTTGCCTTACAATACAAAGTGAAAATGTTGTAATAAAGATTTAACCGAGCATTAAGGGGAGCGTCAATTTCAACCCAATTGTTTTGTTATGAACTGGAGAATGAACGTAAGGGAGAAAATTTACGTTGACTTTTTTGTGGTCTTTTATATGTTACTAATTGAACTTGACGTGCATTGCAATGCCAAACTTCATCATCAGCATCAGCGCAATATACGTCACAGCTATCCTAAGTTAGGGGTAACTAGGCAATAGCCCAATAAGATGGACCAGTATGGGTTGTTGTACTTCACACATATCTTTGAATTTCTTCGCAATTATCTGCTAAATGTCATATTTAAAATAGAACTAATAAAGAATATCTTGTCATAATATCTTTAACAAACATATATGTACTACTATATTATGACAAGATTATCATTGTTTAATGATTAAACATATTCTCCTACGCCGGGAAACCATATTGCTTTTTTAATTTTGCGCCACGGAAACATCTGGTGATATTGAATACAAAATAAAAGTAATATATTAAAAGGAAAACATTAGGTTAAGCTAATTCAAATATTTACATTAAGTTCATGTACAATATAACGAAGGAAAAATATTTCTTTTTGCAAACAATTGATAAAATGTAATAATATCAATACGCTGTTGGTTTTCTTCATCAATAAACAAATAAATATTTATCTAAAAAAACACAGACGAATTGAGAACCTCCTCCTTTTTGAAGTCGGTTAAAAACTCACTTGAATATACTAGTACAGTCGTTTAAAGTACAGGAGAACGCACTGGAGATGACAAACAAACTCGTATACATAAGTTTACGGTGAAGAAAAATATCGTGACGCAACCTACACATATCTCCGAAGAAATTCAAAGACATGTGTGAATTCAACGTACCCGCAATTCGCCAGCGTGGGTAGTAGGTAAGCTCCGTGCCACTCAGTGGAGACGTATAGTGGACTGAGGAACCGCAAAGAACCAAGACAATTATTATTATATGTTAAACATACTTAAGCAAACCGTAATACTAGGGTTTAATATATATTATCATGGTCTGATATGAACTGCATACATGGCTGCACTTATTGATATGTACAAACCGAAGCTT